TGCCATCACCACAATCACCTCTATCACTACAATTACAATCTTCACGTAAGTATCACTTGCAACACTCAACACGAGCAAAGAGGAGCTTCCCTATCACCATCAACACAATCACCAAGACCATGACAAACATCATAGTACCATCTTTAACATCATTACCATCACTTACCTTGGATAGATCTCTCGTCGAATAACTTGCACTCACGCGATAGGATGACATTTTAAAGGCGCACACGTGGCAAAGCCAGTATCCAGGGGGCGCTGTAGCTCGAGCCGCGTGCTGTCTCCACGAAGTTAAACGCCAGAATAACGCGCCAGGCTAGTGACGTCACGGCATCCGGTTTTATTTCATCCGCGTGGAGAGTCACGTGGGCGTCTGTAACAACCCTTAGCTGGTTGTGACGTCACTCAGTGCCTGGTGCCTTTCCCCGTGGCCTCGTGGGTACCGTGGATTTAAGTAAAACATAACCCACCCACTAGACAATAACATTAAAATACGTGTGCCTACACGTACGTTAGTATAATTTAACGTGCAGTCACTGGCACCATCGCCAAAAGCATCTACCAACACCGCAATTTCTATTGCCATCACTAACACCATCCCGAATAGTATCACTATCATCATCACTACAAACCATTAAACCATCACATCTCTACCACCAACACCACACTCTAATTTACCATCTTCATATTACCATCACTTGCAACACTCAACAAGAAGCAAAGAGCAGCTTCCATGCCACCATCAGCACCATTACCATTACAACCACCAAGACCATGACAAACATCATAGTACCATATTCTTAGGTTTTTTCGGTAAAGTCACGTAGGTAAAAAAATAATTAAAATTAATAAAAGTAAAATTATTTTATTTTTATTAATTTTAATAAATCTTAGTTTTTTTCGGTAAAGTCACGTAATAAAAATAAAATAATTTTACTTTTATTAATTTTAATTAATTTTTTACCTACGTGACTTTACCGAAAAAACCTAAGAATATGAATCATTGCAGTCACGAAAGCTTCAAATCTAGAATCATAGTACCATCTTCAACATCACTTACCTTGGATAGATCTCTCGTCGGATAACTCGCACTCACGCGATAGGATGACATTTTAAAGTCTCACACGTGGCAAAGCCAGTATCCAGGGGGCGCTGTAGCTCGAGCCGCGTGCCGTCTCCACGAAGTTAAACGCCAGAATAACGCGCCAGGCTAGTGACGTCACGGCATCCGGTTTTATTTCACCCGCGTGGAGAGTCACGTGGGCGTCTGTAACAACCCTTAGCTGGTTGTGACGTCACTCAGTGCCTGGTCCCTCCCCCCGTGGCCTCGTGGGTACCGTGGATTTAAGTAAAACATTACCCACCCACTAGACAATAACATTAAAGTACGTGTGCCTACACGTACGTTAGTATAATTTAACGTGCAGTCACTGGCACCATCGCCAAAAGCATCTACCAACACCGCAATTTATATTGCCATCACTAACACCATCCCGAATAGTATCACTATCATTATCACTACAAACCATTAAACCATCACATCTCTACCACCAACACCACACTCTTATTTACCATCTTCACATTACCATCACTTGCAACACTCAACAAGAAGCAAAGAGCAGCTTCCATGCCACCATCAGCACCATTACCATTACAACCACCAAGACCATGACAAACATCATAGCACCATATTCTTAGGTTTTTTCGGTAGTCACGTAGGTAAAAAAATAATTAAAATTAATAAAAGTAAAATTATTTTATTTTTATTAATTTTAATAAATCTTAGTTTTTTTCGGTAAAGTCACGTAATAAAAATAAAATAATTTTACTCTTATTAATTTTAATAATTTTTTTACCAACGTGACTTTACCGAAAAAACCTAAGAATATGAATCCTTGCAGTCACGAAAGCTTCAAATCTAGAATCATAGTACCATCTTCAACATCACTTACCTTGGATAGATCTCTCGTCGGATAACTTGCACTCACGCGATAGGATGACATTTTAAAGTCTCACACGTGGCAAAGCCAGTATCCAGGGGGCGCTGTAGCTCGAGCCGCGTGCCGTCTCCACGAAGTTAAACGCCAGAATAACGCGCCAGGCTAGTGACGTCACGGCATCCGGTTTTATTTCACCCGCGTGGAGAGTCACGTGGGCGTCTGTAACAACCTTGGCTGGTTGTGACGTCACTCAATGGCTGGTGCCGTCCGCCGTGGACTTGTGGGTCACGTGGATTTAAGTGAAATGTAACCCACCCACTATATGATGACATACCATAATGTATGTGCACCTACAATCGTTTTCTGTGTTCAGTATAATTTAGCGTGCATGTGTGTTATATACATGATACGTTGTCTACAATACATGCATGTTTGCATGTATATGGGGCCGTCCATAAATTACGTCACGCGATTTTGGACGATTTTTACCCCCCCCCCCTACTAGTCACACGGCGTCACAAAAAGTCAGACCCCCCTCAAATATGACGTCACAAAGCTCTGCCCCCCCCCTCACAAAACCATATTTCCATTTTGAAAATAAAACATGCTTCAAATCGCTTTAAACTATTGTCATTGTAGTGCGTATTTAATGTGGCGCTGCACTCTGATGTCGGAGGAGAAAACATTTATTAAAAAGTCTATTTAATTAAGTAGAACGTGTTGTCTATATTTATTTAAAGTTGCGAATTTTGATGTGACGTCACATTTCTCAACCCCACCTCCCCTCGTCACACAATCGTCACAAATGTCTGACCCCCCCCCCCCCCAGGTACGTGACGTCATTTATGGACGGCCCCTATATTATACGTATGCGAGTCCATATTATTATAAATCATATCTTCTTGGTTGTTTCGTTAAGTCACGTAGAAGGGAAATAATAAAATAATAAAAATAAAACATGATAAAATAACTCTCACGATGTTTCGGCCACAACACAAGCAGCCGTCCATGTTTAATTTTTATTATTTTATTATTTCCATTCTACGTGACTTTACCGAAAGAACCAAGAAGATGAATCCCTGCAGTCACGAAAGCTTTAAATCGAAAAATAAATCATATCCTTATATTTCATGCAATTATAAATCTCAACGTTCATCCTTCAAAGTTCCATCACAAGGGAGAAACACTGACAAAAATATATTTGTTTTAATCTTAATTTTAAGCTTTCGTGACTGCAGGAATCCATACTCTTTGGTTCTTTCGGTAAAGTCACGTAGGTAGAAAAATAAAATAAATCACGACGTTTCGGGCGCAACACAAGCGTCCGTCATCAGGTGGGAAAGCATGGCCTGCTGCTGATGCAAACGACTCTACGCCGTATGGACCTGCACACTCAATTCCCTGTACAAGAATACATGTAAAACGTCTGAGTTGACAGGTATGATATATGGATACGTACACATAAAAATGTACCCCTCTGCCCCCGTGATGTCTGCGTACCGAGTGAGTATTTGTGACGGTTGTGGCACTTAGAGTGATGCCCACAAAGTTGTAACACCTCGATTTAAAGCTTTCGTGACTGCAGGGATTAATCTTCTTGGTTCTTTCGGTAAAGTCACGTAGAAGGGAAATAATAAAATACTAAAAATAAAACATCATAACATACAATTTTCACGACGTTTCGGCCACAACGCAAGCAGCCGTCCTCAGGTGAAGAACAGGTCTGTCCTAAAGATGTTTGAAACATGTTTAATTTTTATTATTTTATTATTTCCATTCTACGTGACTTTACCGAAAGAACCAAGAAGTTGTAACACCTCGTCCAGGCAATACTCGTGTGTGTAACTGATGTCGGCAATATGGCTGCAGAGGCGCTGTATCGTGATATAATGAATCCACGACAGATTGAATGATACATTATGTTAATGCAGAGGGAATTCATTAACACATTCCTGTGGAGGGAGCTGGTAGGAACGTTGGGTTGCTCAGTCAATGGCCAGGGTCAACGGCGGCGTGGTGTATTCAGCAAATATGCCCGACTGTGAGGGTGGGCACAGGCCGGCGTGAGTAGGTTAAACGTTGAGTTTTATACGGGCACCACGGGGTGACCAGCCCCTCCCCACCCAGCCCCACCTCTCCCACTCCCCACCCAGCCCTTCCCCACCCAGCCCCTCCCCACCCTCCCCACCCAGCCCCTCCCTGCACGACGGACGGACACAATAATCCCCTATGGACTGGTGTAACCAGGAGGTTCCTACAAGTATAACCCACAATTTATCATTCATTCTGTCGCGGATTCATTATACTGTATCCTGTTACAGCGCTTCTGCGGCCGTCTGGAACGCTCTTCCTTCCGATATTAGGAAGCCACTGGAACGGTGCACTTTTAAGTGATCTGGATTGAAAACTAATTTCTTTAGAACTGCTTTTTGTGTTTAGTTTGTTGTCCTTCCCCCGGACCCCCGATTGGCATGGTTGGATACAATGCGAAAGAAGTTCGACATACATACGTGGTAATGTGCTGAAACTTTATTAAGGGGTTACATATTATATGCAGAACAGACTACACCGAGCCCTACAAGGCATCTACTGCAACACCGCACATAAACATGGAGCCAAACATGCTGTCTCACACTGAGTTGTGAATAAAGTGACTAAAGCACAAATCTTAACTCACAGGAAAATTCGACAAGAATGGAACCTGCCCTCTGCTTACATACAATCGCAACATTATCTTAACCCATGAGACAAGAGGACTGGTCGATACCAACTGGGGTAGCAAATGCTGAAGGGATGATGGACAGAAACCTAAACACAGCGCCATTGTCAGTCTTTACTCTTTGGTTCTTTAGGTAAAGTCACGTAGGTATAGAATAAAATATATCACGACGTTTCGGGCGCAACACAAGCGTCCATCATCAGGTGGGAAAGCATGGTCTGCTGCTGAGGCAAGACTGCTTTAAAAGGTTTGAAATGGGTGTATCTCAAACCTTTTTAAAACAGTCTGCCTCAGCAGCAGACCATGCTTTCCCACCTGATGGACGTTTGTTGCGCCCGAAACGTCGTGATTTATTTTATTTTCTACCCCACGTGACTTTACCGAAAGAACCAAAGAGTATGGATTCCTGCAGTCACGAAAGCTTCGAATTAAGATTGTCAGTCTTATAGACACTTTATATTTAGTTTCATATTCTGTCGATGTTTCATATCAAGGTGAAGGTGCAGGCCTGAAATTGCTTGCGCACCTCACTGGTGGAAGGAGGGTCCTTGCATAGAGGGATCTCTATATGACCATATTCAGTCTACTCTTCCACGCTGGCCAGATGTCTTGGAAGAGGTGTAAGTACTCACACTTCAGCTCAACATGAGTTATTTTTTATATCCAAAAAATGTCTTATCATATTCTACCCTTTTTCAAACTGTTTTATTAAAAGTTATATGGTGACCTTACTATTATACATATTTGTGATCGAGAGATAAAAGTAATGAAAAAATTATTGTTAGCATTTGACACCCTATGTGGTACCTGCCGATAAGCAACTTTTGGGTCAATGGCTCAACGACCATCAGAAAATCTCCATACATGAAGATAGCTGAACAAAAGTTTCAGGGACTGTTGGCAGTGGAGTGAAAGCATTAATCAAAATTGACACAGCGTGGGAAGGCCTCCATCCAGTCATGGGTTGTTAAAGGGCTGTGAATTATTAGATAAAAGTAAATAGAGTAGAGAGAGAGAACACAAAGATATTGCCTAAGATTGGAAATTATATTTTACCCATTAAAGGCTGCACAGTGCACATGTGTACAGGCAGCCAGCAAAGACACCTGCTCACAGTACAGGAGACCCTTGAATATCACGGGGGTGATCGTTCGCGGTTTCTACCTATTGCAGGCAACCTTTTTCTGTTGCAATTTAGCTATCGAGGTGGTTAGTTTTTGGTGTTGTATGGCTGATACCGCAGTGCGGGGCGGGTGAGAGACGCGAGGCAGTCAGTCGCACCTAAACCTTTGGTCGTGCAAGCATCTCGCGGACAAAGACGCCCCCCGTATAACCTATTAACAGACTTGATTTGAAGCTTTCGTGACTGCAGGAATCCATACTCTTTGGTTCTTTCGGGAACCTACGTGACTTCACAGACAGAACCAGAGTATTAACAGACTGTTGGGGCAAGTGCTGTTAGCGAGCACCTATGAAGGCTGGCACGGCACACGTGGGGGTAGGTAGCCAGCACCACACCCAGTCATGTTTGTCTCCCCAGTAGCGATGTTTACGCACCACACCAGGTACCGAGTAGATAAGCTGACCCAGGGGAGGCCCAGGACCGATTTAGATAATCGTCATTGGTGTTGGGCGTGAGCAGGAATCTAAATTGGGTTGCTGGGTTCATAGCGCAGCGAATTAATCGTAGCACTATTCCTCCCCACTCACGGACAATCAACCGCCAGTCGCCACTAATTGGTGGCGAAGTCACCACGGTGCTTGTGCCAGGCGATGTGCACGACGTTGAGGCCATGTGAAGTGTCGAACGCCCACTGGCAGGAGGTCACGGGGCAGACCCAGGTGCCATGGGTCGACTGAGATGACAAACACACGCACATATACACCCACTTTGGATCATCATCATCATCGGTAAGAACAGTATTTATACGCTTTATTGTCTGCGAATGCTTTTGAATCGGGTTTTAACATTATTATTTCAACTACTTGGCTTTTAGTGTATTAGGCATATAGTAGAGTACTTATTTTAATTGAGACACTGTCTATTATTTGGTTGCCGTGTACCTAACCTCATTATTTATGTAAGGATTAAATATTGAATTTTGCGGTTTTGACTTTAGTGGCACTTTCCAAGAACGTATCCACCCCGCCCCGCGATATTCAAGAGTCACGTGTGCTGCTATCCTGCACGCCCATGCAAGTGATTTTATGAGGCACATCACAGTACCATCTGTCCACGATCCACGAAGCCTTTCTCCGCGTTACTGGGTTACAGAAACGCATCTTCTGCATCACAACCACTGCACTCAAATGTTCAACTGCGGCTCCCCAATGTTCCTCAAACATTGTCCACACACGCTCACCTAGAAAGGGATTGCGGTGTACGAAGTGGCAAACCAGGATATAAAGTACCGTGGAGTGGGCATGGGGATCGCCCAGGACGGGAATAAATGGAGTGGCTGAGGAAGGCAGTCCCACATGAATGGGAACCAATACCAGGAGGAGAAAGTAGAGGGAGAAAACGGGTTTTGATTCCTTACCCGTACCCCGCAGCACCAAGGGTCGCAAATGGGTACCCGTACCCGGCCGTACCCGTACCCGGGTAGGGTACGGATGAAGCCATGTTGCAGGCGCGGGTGGGTTGATTCTAGGAACTTGAATTGTGAGAAGAGACAAGACGTTGGGAAATGAGTGACAGTTACTCACCAGTGACTCACGGCCTACCCGTACCCGACCGCACCAGGGTCGCAAACGGGTACCCGTACCCGGCCGGGTACGGGTAGCCGGGTATCGGGTAGGGTATCGGGTACCCGGTTGCGACCTCTGATATGGGGGTGGCACACATATCGACACCCTCAACATTAAGTCCATCTGCCGGAATGCAGGATCCGGCCGAAGTGAAAGCAATGACAGCGAGGTGTGGCATGGCATAAATGGCATTGTCCATGATGACCTCTTGAACTTGAACGCGAGTGCCTATGAGTGAAGGACACATCAGGGGGTTAACTGTTGTTAATAAGGATGGGCTTATTGGCCCCAGATACAAATCATCACTGGTGCTGAGCCTGTCACTCTTGTTGCGGTGCATCAATTATCTATCATAACGGCTGTGTGTTGCCTGGTCTTCCCGTAAAAACACATGAATCCCTTCGATCCGTCATCCATCCATCGGTTCCTGTAGCCGAGGTGGCATTCGGTGGTCACTCGTTGCCATTGGTCAGTAACCGATTTGTTTCACCAAGTAAGAGCTCATTGGGAAACGCAAGTGTCATTTGAAACCGAGACCAGGTGTCCATCGAAGACACCGTAACGGCATGCGTTTTCAAAAAGTGAAGCTCATCTGTCACCTGTCGGGCGCCGTATTCACAGCAATGCCTTGTTTGTCAACCCTGGCCTTAATTCATGATTGGAAACATTACAGTGTGGCCTGTGGCTCGGAGAGAGGTGGCTAGAGTTTAAATCTTGAGATAGAATATTTTGTCAGGGTTAGGGGTAGCATTAAAGGATTCCTTGGATTAATTCTGGGCTACGGAAAGAGTTGGTTATGGCAAGGTCTTTGCTAAGCTAGGGCTCGCATTGTATTGCATTAGGACTAGGTTTTATTATGAAAGAGGCTAGGGATTTGGTTTTGACTTCTTCTTTCGCAGAGCAACAACTACAATTTCACATTCAGGTGGTCAAGCCAGATAGATTTGAGACTGGGGATTCGTGAAGGATTAGCATTACGGTTACCACAAACACTCGCTATACATGTTTCAGTCAAGGCTTTCTGTTCAAGGTTATTACTTGAGCCAAGATAACGGTTTGAGCTTCGCACATGGTGTCATATCCAACCCTCGACTCGGTGGCAATTATCCCAGCATCACCGCCACCGCCCCTACGAGAGCTTGTAGCGTCGGTGGACGTTGAGGTGGCTTTTGAGGCTGCTCAGGTCGAGGAATGCACGATTGCACTCCGAGCACTGGAAGGGCTTCTCGCCCGTGTGCATGTATTGGTGACGCTTGAGACTGCAGTAGTATGAAAACTTCTGCCCGCACATGCTGCAGCGGTACGGCTTCTCGCCCGTGTGCGTGCGCTGGTGCGCCTTCAGGTTGCCGCTGTGCGAGAAGCTCTGGCCGCACACCTTGCAGCGGAAGGGCTTCTCGCCCGTGTGCGTGCGCTGGTGCGACTTAAGGTGGGCGCTCTGCGAGAACGCCTGTCCGCACGTCGCGCAGCGGTACGGCCGCTCGCCCGTGTGCGTGCGCAGGTGCGTCTTGAGGTTGCCGCGCTGCGAGAAGCGCTGGGCGCACACGCTGCACCGGAACGGCTTGTTGTCTTCACCGCCCGCAATCGCCGGCACGGGAACCGGCAGCATGCGCCGCCGCCGCACCAGCTTAAAGTTCGGCACGTGGTACGCGGCGGCGGCGGCGGCAGGAGGCAGAGTGTCGCTCCTGGACGGTGCCTCGTCCTGCCTGTCAATGTGGTCTTCAGTGAGCGGCTTGGGCAGGTACGCGGCACACATGGGCGGGACCGTGCAGCCAGTGTCAATTTGTATTTTGTCGACCGGCAGCTGCTGCTGTTGTTGCTGCTGCTGTTGCTGCTGCTGCTGCTGTTGAAGCCAGGGATAGGAGTCAACATTGGTTGCATTCGTTAGGTCCAGTCCCATCTCCTGAAGCGAGGTCACTTGTTGGATGACAAAGCCCGAATTACCTTGGAAAAGATAATCAGAGAAGTCACTTTAGACGTCATATTGTGGATATGTTTTATTTTATGGCCACGACAGGGCAAAATCAATTACTGTGACGATGATCCCACGTCTATGTTCTCTTCCTTCACCCACCCGCACTGACCAGGAACAATGAAGTATGTTCAAATAACCCCCATGATCTGACCAACGTGGGGTTATCTTCATCCAGCAGCGGATTGACAAAAGGGCAGTACTTGTCCATTAGGCATGCGCGTCTGTCTTTGTCTTGAGGGGGAGCAGTGGCATAGTGGTTAGCGCACTGCAATACCAATCTGGCGACATGGATTTGATTGCCAGCCATGGCGAAAATCAGTATCTAAGGATTCTTGAAACGGTCCTGGGACCCTCCACCCAGGTTGATTTGGCCTTAAATGAGTACCTGTTGCAGTGCGATAACGGCACTGGATTGGAGAAACAAAGGCACGAATATAATTGGAGACAATTTTAAACACGGCACATTTCGCCGTATACGAACAGCAAAAAACATTCCCACACAAACAATTGAGTGCACGTATCTGCGTGAGAATCAACATTAATCGATGAATGCTTGCATCGTCACGTCTCCACGCGGTAAGACTTGTTTATTTTCAACTCATCTTTACCTCCGCACGCGTCTCTTTCTATCCTGGGTGGCGTCTGGCTGGGGCTGGAGTCTCTCTGGTACGACGTGGGACTCTGATGATCACCGTCTGAATGGCAGAAGACAACGGACGTGTGGATTAACGCAGACATTTAAAAATGGCACTGCTGCATCTCAGGATGAGCCAGGGGAAGTTCTTTCTCACAGGTGCCCAGCCCAAAGCTTGGGCTGCGATGGCGGATAATTACAGAAGACTTTACGTAGATCAAGTGAACGATCGTGTGTAAACGTGAACAAAACAGCAGAAGATGGAAAGAGCAATCAGAGAAAATGTAAATGAACTGCCCTCCCCCCCCGCCACCCCCACTTTTATCCTTTCGTCAGTTGAGATAAGACAGACCCAGAAGAGGAGAGGTTGTCACCCCAACACATAAAGCCGCATGTATGTTATATGATTTACAGCATGGTCCATTTCCAAGTCCCCTCCCACTATACCCGATCTCCCCCTAGAACAGCGGTCGGGAACCTATGGCTCGCGAGCCATATATGGCTCTTCCAGTGATGGCATATGGCTCCCAGACAATTTTGAGTTGGAAAAATAAATAAAAATCAGTTTGGAACTGATTTTAAAATACTTGTGATATTGCTTAATAATATTGTGTCATTTTAAAGTAAACAGAAATTAGTTTTGAAGATAAATTTCACGGGTCACGCCTGCATGAAGCTCAACCTCACCACGTACGAACCAGACTACAAGGCCATCAGCAAAACCATGCAGCACCTAGAAGTCGCATTAAAAGTAAGACATATTTAATTTATTATACGTTAAAAATACTATATGGCTCTCAATGAAATATATTTAGAAATATTTGGCTTTTATGGCTCTCCCAGTCAAAAAGGTTCCCAACCCCTGCCCTAGAATGTTGGTTACTTCCTCCCGGCCCATCTTCCCCCCCCCATAAACAAAAGCTCCCATTCCCCCCCCCCCCCCCCATTAGGGTGGGGTAGCGAGCATTCCTTCCCCACACCTATACATGTTCAAGTGCCAAAAGTACCCCCCCCCCCGCCAGCCCTCGGTTTTTCTGTACCCCTCCGCAGAAATCATCGACACGTTTTATCGGGCTTGTGCGCTTACCATTATAAAAACATGCATAAAATGTAAATTTTAAAAAATGAACAGCAATCGTTCAACATTATTGAGGATGAATTACACTTGCACGTACACGTGGTCCTCCGCACGTGTCTGTTTCTATCCTGGGCGGCACATGACCACATGTGTACACATGTACAGCCATTTTTGCCAAGCCATTGCTGGAAGAGGGCCTCCACACGCCGTGTCCGTCACAGGTGTCCTTCAACCAACCATACTTCACCACGCTGATCAGTGCACGCCTCTGAAGGTTTCGTAATGCGTTCTACCACAGGAGTCTGCATTCAACGATCATTTCTAAAACTGTTTGTTCCATCTTAAAGATTTTTCCTCGTCTTAGTTTGCTATTCTATCAAACCTTGTCATTTTTTCATAATCACATCATATTACTAAAACCCTCGTCTCCTCAAATCAGCCAATCACAGGGGGCGACAGATAGGATGGGACAGTGTACACTTTTATTCGTCTTAAAGTACTCACCAGCGCAGCTTGCCTCGGTTTTGATCATGTGCAGCGACGGGTTTGGGCTGCAGTCTCCTACCTCTGATGAGGCCCGGGTGTGCCCATCATTTTCTGTGTAGGCCAAAGAGCAAGGCACACAAACATTTGGGGAGGGGGAGAAATGAACAATGATCAGTGAATTTTGATTTAAAGCTTTCGTGACTGCAGGGATTCATCTTCTTGGTTCTTTCGGTAAAGTCACGTAGAAGGGAAATAATAAAAATAAAACATAATAAAATTAAATTCTCACGACTGCTTGTGTTGTGGCCGAAACGTCATGAGAATTGTATTTTATTATGTTTTATATATTATTACTTTATTATTTCCCTTCTACGTGACTTTACCAAACGTACCAAGAAAATGATCAGTGAAGTAAACGTTCCGGCCTGGTGGTTCAGCAGTAGAGCAAGCGGATCGCCATCGGGAGTTTGGGAATTTTATATCCTGGTCGGTGGAATGACTTGGCCATCATCCCTCCGGGATCAATAAAATGAGTACGACTTTGTAGGGAAGTTAACAATTGTTGTCCTATAATAGCTTGGCCCCCGCCATAGGAAAATGGAATATTCACCATTGGATCAGTGCTGTAAAAAGAGATGAGCACTGCCTGAATGCTTGCTTTGGCTAATATTTGGCAGAAATACGACCATGTAAGTGTTTTTTTTCATCAGTTTGAAATGATTCTGCCAAAAGAGCAGGTAAATAGTTGAATCTGGCTCAAAAACTTTTTTATAAACTTGACAAATGAGGTTGAAAAGCGTGGGGAAATGTTAAATACCCCGCCTGGTATACAAGTCGTGGGTTCGATCCCGACCTAGACGCCTGTATATTTGGATGTTGCGTGTTCTCCCCGTGGTCGAGTGGATTTTTCTCCAGGTCCTCTGGTTTTTCTCTCAACATTAAGAATCAACATCATGCGTTCAGAGTATTTGACTGCAATACAATTGCACGTGATGATAAGCCACTTCGTGCAGGTATCACTCGTGGCCAGGTCGCTTCTGAAAAAGAGCCATATAGCTCAGTGGGCCTTACCTGGTAAAATAAGAATAGTTTAGTTTAGCGTGAATGCATTTGCTCTATCGTCTGTCAATAACAGAAGGCCACGATAACTCCTGTGAAGATAATCCAACATGAACAAAATTTTAGCACAAATGTCGTGTTGCTATTATAAACTTATCTATAATAAAATCGACTAAATTGATACAAGGATAGGTGACAACCAGCACTGAAAGTATTCGCCTTGCCTGCGAAGGCGATGTTATTACATTAGACATCATTTCGCGATGTCACTTGTCATACTCCGCGTGAATACATCTCATTGTACAACTTTAAACGTAAACATATTACTGCTTTGCGAGCCGAACGCACTTTTACCATCGACATCTTGATCATCCGCATCATCCATTGCTTTTTCCTCAAAAATTATTTCCTTGCTGTCCGAAATGGAGCGTCCGGCACTGGCCCCAGCACCATCAAAGTCTCCCAGCCTCTGTGCGCAAACCAGTAGCTCTCGGCTCAAGCCGCTGAAAAGTGTGAGCAGCACGTCCACCAGGCCTCCCAGCGTCACATCGCCCTGAGATGGCGCAGCGTCCCAGCGCGGCGTCCCAGCGTCGTGGGGCTCGGCACCCTGCAGGGCCTTCACCACCTGCCGCAGCACGGCGTAGAAGCCGAAGGGCAGGCGGTCGCGCGCCGTAGAAAGCAGCTCGGCCCGCACGAGGCCATCCCCGATGCAGGCGCGCAGGACCCCGTAGTCCCGGATGCCCAACTCCGAATCCATGGCCCGGGCCACCTCCTCGTTCACGCCCTGCGCCTCCAGCCACGCCGGGAAGTCTCCGCTAGGCTCAAGCACTGGGGTTGCCATCGCGCACGCCATTCTGGTGGGACGTGCAAACATATCACGTTAGTTGCGTCATTAATTTGGTTAGCTGTTTGAAAAAGGAACTGACAAGGTTCTCACCTGATGTAGAATCTCCTCTTTATGGGTATCGTGCAAGAAGATAGGCGTGGAGTCTGTGTTGAGGTCACGGTTGTTGCAGGGCTGGGATCAGAGCTGCGGTCAGCCACAAGCAAGAACATAAATGTGCGAGTCATAAAACTGCCAAACGATGCCATTTTGCAATGCTGAAAGCTGGCCATTAACAAAAAGGGCAGCGTGAAATCCCAAAAGCAACCACACAGTTAGCTTTCCGTTGTGTACATACCTTTGGAACCTCATTTGCCAGTAGAAAAATATAATTGTTTTTTTACCCTTTAATCTGGCAACAAAACTGACACCTTTTTTACAAGAAGTCATGTTTGCATAGACCACAATACCTGTAGTCGTAATGCAAACAAAAAACATAACTCTGATGATGTATGCACTGTCCTTGAAGTTGATTGGTCCACACCCGAGACAGCTTTCCTGACGCCAAAAGGCGTCATCTGGTCCAACACCATGTGAGACTAGGCTCTAAGGAAAGCTGTCTCGGGTGTGGACCAATCAACTTCAAGGACAGTGCATACATTATCAGAGTTATGTTTTTTGTTTGCATTACGACTGCAGGTATTGTGGTCTATGAAAACATGACTCCTTGTAAAAAAAGGTGTCAGTTTCGTTGCCAGATAAAAGGCTAAAAAAACAATTATCGTGTACATACCTTTTTTGGTAATCCACTGTTGGATTAGCCCAGGGGTCCTCAAACGTTTTAAACAGGGGGCCAGTTCACTGTCCCTCAGACCGTTGGAGGGCCGGACTATAGTTAAAAAAAACTATGAACAAATTCCTATGCACACTGCATATATCTTATTTTGAAGTGAATAAACAAAACGGGAAAAATACAATATTTAAAATGAAGAACAAGTAAAGTTAAATCAACAAACTTGCCAGTATTTCAATGGGAACTATGGGCCTGCTTTTGGCTAATGAGATGGTCAATGTCCGGTTCCATATTTGTCACTGCTAGTCGTAACAAGTGATGCAAGTGTGCATCCGTTAGTCTAGATCTGGTTGGAGATTTCAAATGTTTCATTCTGGAAAAAGTCTGTTCACAGACTTGTGCTGCCAAAGATGGTTGCCATTTTGAGTGCATGGTTCCTGAGATGAGGATATGTCTCAGAGGAGAGAGATGCATAGAAATTATGAAGGCTGCTTGACTTGAATGCGTCTTTCAGAGAGTCACAATTCTGCAGTTCAGCCAGTTCCATTTGGTAAATTGTATCCACATTTTCAATGTCAATAGAAAATGGGTTACGGAAAAGCTGTATGTCCTGTTCATGGAGATGAAGCTCTTTAAATCTAAATTGGAACTCCTTTTGCAATTTTTCCAGTGAATCCACACATGTTTTGTTTGGGAATGCAACCAATGGTTTTTCCGCTAACAGATTTTGAGTTGTGGGGAGATGGCAGAAGTTTTCCTCCTTCACTTGTTTGATGAGGAGGCCTAATTTTACTTCAAATGCTTGGACATGTGATTGCATATCACAGATGAGCTTCCCCTTTCCTTGAAGTTGCACATTGAAACTGTTGAGTAGCTCTGTTACATCTGTCAGAAAGGCAAGGTGCCATTTCCATTCTGCATCATTGAGCTCTGGTACTTCTTTGTTTTTTGAAAGCAAAAAAGCTGTAATCTGTGGAAGTAAGTCATAGAAACGTTTCAAAACTCTCCCTCGACTCAGCCAACGGACTTGTGTGTGGTACAGAACATCTTCATAGTCAACATTTAGCTCCGACAGAAATTCCTGAACTTGTCTGTGGTTTAGTGCATGACCTCTAATGAAGTTAACACAAGATACCACAATTTTCATAACAGAGTCCCACTTCAGTGATTTACTACACAGCGCTTGTTGGTGGATGAGGCAGTATATGGCTATTGGATGAGAATGGTTATGTTTGTCCATCTCTTGGTTAATGCGAGCAATTACTCATTTCTTAGACCCTACCATGCTAGGAGCACCATCAGTTGTCACACTGGCTAGTTTAGCCCAGTTCAGCTCCAAACCATTCACAGTTTGGCAAACCTTTTCATAGATATCCTCTCCTGTAGTTGTTCCTTTGATGCTTTGCAGTGCAGCAAGCTCTTCTGTGACTTCGAAATAGTCATTCGTCCCACGAATAAAAATTAAAAGTTGTGCAGAATCACGAACATCATTGCTTTCGTCGAGTGCCAAGGAAAAATAGGAAAGTTTTTTTGTGGAGTTTTGCAAATGCTGATGCAAATTGTCTCCCATTTCTTCAATCCTCCGTGTAATTGTAGGTCCTGAAAGACTCACTGTACTAAACAAATCGGCCTTCTCTGGACACATCTCTTTGGCAACAGAAAGAAGGCATTCTTTAACAAATTCTCCCTCCACGAATGGTCTGCCAGTGCACGCTATTAGCTTGGCAACTTGATAACTTGCTCGCAGTGATGAAATATTTAGCTGCTTCTGCTTCACAAAAGTATTTTGCTGAGTTGTTAATGTATTTTTCAGTTTTAATATTTTATCTTTTCTCACTTCTCCGACCAAACAATCATATTTATCTTTATGTTGAGTTTCATAGTGTCGACGTAAATTGTATTCTTTGAACACAGACACTATATTCTGGCATACCAGACACACAGCTCTTTCCTTGTACTGCATGAAAAAGTAATCATAAGTCCACTGTTCTTTGAATATCCTACACTCCGAGTCAATTTTTCTCTTTCTTGACATCATTGTTTCCTAGGGAGTCAAAATTGCTATTAGTAAAATACCAATATATATACAGCGCTACAAAAACAATATACCTGCAATAACTTTGCCCACACAGAGACATACAAACTGCACTGCCCATCAATGCAGTCTGATTGGGGGAACTCTGCTTTTACCCCAGGCTCACACTGGTGCGGGTGCCATTAAAAAGTTAATTACATCTGCAGTTTTGTTCACAGATCGCAGTGCGGTGGGCCCAATGAGTGCCCACCGCCGCAGCTCAATCAGTGCTCACCAGCGCAGCCCAATCAGTGCCCACCAGCGCAGCTCAATCAGTGCTCATCAGCGCAGCCAAATCAGTGCTCGCCACCGCAGCCCAATCAGTGCTCACCAGCGCAGCCCAATGAGTGCTCACCAGCGCAGCCCAATTAGTGCTCACAAGCGCAGCCCAATTAGTGCTCACAAGCGCAGCCCAATTAGTGACCATGGGCCGGATAAATGTCCTCAGCGGGCCGCATGTGGCCCGCGGGCCGTAGTTTGAGGACCCCTGGATTAGCCCTTCCCCACGCCATGCAAGTCGTGTTGTGGATCAGACCATACTTCACCAGGACGGTGTGGGTTGAAGGCGGGGAGCATAGATGCTAGTTGTAATTACCAGCGAAATGTCGTACTCGAATTGTAAATCTGGGTTTACTCTCCAACACACCGGTGTGCTGAACTAGTAACACATTGGCATGTTTCACTTACGTGACAAATCTTGCTAATTGGCTATGTCGTGTAGTGGTGGATTTAACGACGTATCTATATTTATGCGATCTAACCCAAAAAAAACTTTTATTACGGTTAGAAGTATAGTGCCACTATGGATGTTAATGCACCGCACTCTACTGCCCACCACGCAGCCTCGCAATCTACAACCCTCGTCATGCACAGTGGGCGCCCATCCAAGCGTCAGCCAGATTCAAACCTGCTCAACAACTGAGATCTGGCGCATTTCAGGTCATTTCGCCACCAGCAGGCTCGAGATTAAATGCAATTGGTTTTTAAAATCACGAGCACATACTGTGTTACACACAACTGTATGATAGCGCGGTCGTAATTGTAGACAACCAAATTTTTACTTGATACATCTGGGACGTCAAAAACAGGAGAGAACCTCTCTGAGCTTAAGACTGTGCAGCCCTTTGTCAAAATATTGCTGGATGAAAGTTTCCCACGCCGCGAGGGCCGTGGTGGTCGTTTGACCATACTTCACCAGGTTGGTGAAGGGGGATGACCAAGCTGTCATGAAGAGGCCCTTTGGGGAGACTTCCGAAAGCATTGACGTGACGTCATTGTTTCTGACACAACGTGGTGCACTTGTTACTGCTGCAAGACTTCACAATTGAGCTTTCTTTAAAAAAAAGTTACATTTTCCAATAGACTCTCGATTATCCGCGCTAATGACGGGGAGGACAGACGCGGATAATTCAAAATCGTGGACAATCCAAAAATATAACCATTTTCCGTGGATATCTATGCCAAAAACCACTAATATTATCGGTATAAATTACCGATCGATGCCCATTCTCAGTGCCTGTTCCCGCGCAGAAGACTCTGCCCACGAGCAAAGCCACGCCATTCAAAATCAATCAAACTCCGCCCACCGTTGTAAAGATATGGCAATTACTGTACTGGAAAGGCTGTTTGTTCGGTTTAAGCACGTGACGTGTAATAAACATTTCCAAGAATAACAATTAATAACTATTTTTAGATTTAAAAAGATTTGGGCTTAAGGGAAAATCCATGAATTGGTCAAATCGGATAAACCGCACGCGGATAGTTGAGTCTCCTGCAAGTGGTATGTGGGTGAGGAGGGGGAGGGGGGGTCGGATTAAAATCTAAATAATATTAATCACGCAGCCTCCCCTATAAAGCACCACCATGGAAGAGACGGAGCGATTAAATCAGCTCGTGTGCAAGACTGATTATGAATGTGTGGTATGGCGGGACACATAAAGGATGGTGACGGCTTGTGGGCAGATTTGGTGGGGGAGGGGAATTCCCTCCATCCCAGCAGTGGATAGATCACGGCTGATTGACGACGACGTCGATGACAGCATCTCACACAATTATTCTGACAGCACCACCCATCACGTCAATAGGCAACTGGCGGAGTCACACGCATTCCCGTTACCGCATAAACAACACATTCCTGCGGAGGGAGCTGGTAGGAACGTTGGGTTGCTCGGTCAATGGCCAGGGTTAACGGCGGCGTGGTGTATTCCGCATATATACCGGACTGTGAGGGCGGGCACAAGCCGGCGTGAGTAGGTTAAACGTTGAGTTTTATAAGGGCACCACGGGGTGACCAGCCCCTCCCCACCCAGCCCCACCCTCCCCACCCAGCCCCACCCTCCCCACCCAGCCCCACCCTCCCCACCCAGCCCCACCCTCCCCACCCAGCCCCACCCTCCCCACCCAGCCCCACCCTCCCCACCCAGCCCCACCCTCCCCACCCAGCCCCACCCTCCCCACCCAGCCCCACCCTCCCCACCCAGCCCCACTCTCCCCACCCAGCCCCACCCTCCCCACCCAGCCCCACCCTCCCCACCCAGCCCCACCCCATTATTTTATTGATATTACCACCTCTATTATTTTATTATTTACTTACCTACGTGCCTTTACCGAATCGAAACAAAAGAATAAATCATAATTTTATTAATATTATCTCTATTATTTTATTATTTACTTATTTCCCCCCCCCCCTACGTGACTTTACCGAAAAAACCTAAGAGTACGAAAACAACATTCACAGGGGTTGCAGGTCGCAACTCGGCACGCACAAATGTGTGTGCCTCGCCACCGATGAACCACGACGATCGATACCTTTGTCGATCTCGTCAAGGAGCGGACACCGGCACGCCAACTCCGGCTCATCGTCGCAAGCAGCGGCCGTCTGGAACGTTCTCTTCCTTCCGACGGGAGGAAGCCACCGGGAACTTGCGATGCGTTTTTTTAAATCATTTGAATTGGAAAATTCATTCCCTTGGAACCGGACATCTGTGGGAAAAAAAAAGATTATATAACGCGTCGGATTCCTGCAGTTATACACGAAGAAGCTTTACAGCTCACGGTTGGAGGTGACGGATGCAGATAAAGCACCAAAGAGCTTCGCAGCGCCTCGGATTTCCTCCTCCGGGACGAAAGATTCCGATTCTGTCACGGGAACGCAGCTGGCGGGGGAAGCCGTCGCTGGCTTTTTCACCGCCACGTGCAGATTCATAAGCGGCTTAGGGACCGCGGCAATTTGCTTCGGCCACGTGCTTTTCATTATTATTATTATTCTTTTACACGATTTTATTTAACTCACCCTGTCTGTTGTTGTATCCTCAACTCTGTCTGTTGTCGTATCCTCAAATCTTGTAACTCAATTTTAACCCACTTCCCAGTGTGGTATCGACTGCAAACTTGGTGTACTGATGTCATATTTACGCTGCTTTGAGCCTCTCATGTTTTTGACGACCCTGCTCATTACCTGTCAACGCCCTTATCAGTGATCGTTTATCCTACAAATGCCCATCACAAGGTATAAACACAAATAGACAAAATTATTTTTTTATTGCCGGTATTGAAACGGCTGTACGCCGTATAGACCTGAAAACTAAATTTCCCTGTACAAGAATAGGGGTAAAGCGTCTGGGTTTACAGGTATGGTATAGTGCATAGTGTAGTGTATAGTGTAGCGTATAGTATGTAGTGCATAGTAGCGTACAATAGTGTCGTGTTTCGCATACCTGTCAACCCCTTATCAGTGCCTATCTTATTACCCTGCTCCCAGCAGCAGCAGACAAAGAATTCATGGAGTTTGGTGTGCAGTGCTGGGCCTCCGTTCTTCCATACTTCAGGAGGGATGCCATCGACTCCCGTGGTAAAGCTGCAGGAGTCGATGGCATCCCTCCTGAAGTATGGAAGAACGGAGGCCCAGCACTGCACACCAAACTCCATGAATTCTTCGTCTGCTGCTGGGAGCAGGGTAAACTCCCTCAAGATCTCAAAGATGCAGTCATCATCACCCTGTACAAGAACAAAGGGGAGAAATCAGACTGTTCCAATTATCGTGGCATAACACTTCTGTCCGTCGCCGGCAAAATCCTCGCAAGAGTACTGCTGAATAGACTGGTACCCGCAATAGCTGAAGATCACCTCCCAGAGACCCAGTGTGGCTTTAGAGCCAACCGGGGAACCACAGACATGGTGTTTGTCCTGAGGCAGATTCAGGAAAAGTGCCGGGAGCAAAACAAAGCACTGTACGTCACCTTTGTGGACCTGACAAAAGCGTTTGACACCGTGAGCAGGCAGGGACTTTGGAAAATCCTGGACAAGCTAGGCTGCCCACCGAAGTTCCTCACCATGATCGTCCAGCTTCATGAAGATCAGCTTGGACAAGTCAGAAATAGCAACAATCTCTCGCAGCCCTTCCCTATTGCAAACGGCGTGAAACAGGGCTGTGTTCTTGCTCCCACGCTGTTCACCATTTTGTTCAGCATGATGCTCCAGCAGGTCACAGAGGACCTCGACGACGCTGATGGCGTATACATCCGTTTTCGTCTCGACGGGAGCGTGTTCAACCTGAGGCGTTTGCAGGCCCACACAAAGACCATGGAGCAACTGATCAGGGAGCTGCTTTTTGCTGACGATGCCGCCCTCCTTGCTCATACAGAGGCAGCTATGCAGCGAATTACGTCCTGTTTCGCGAAAACAGCTCAGATCTTCGGCCTTGAAGTCAGCCTGAGGAAGACTGAAGTTCTTCATCAGTCCGCACCCCATGAGGAGCACCATCCACCAAGCATCTTCATTGAACAAACAGAACTGAAAGCTGTCCACCAGTTCAGCTACTTGGGGTGCGTCATCTCGTCTGACGCCAAGATCGACAACGAAGTCGACAACAGGCTGGCCAAGGCAAACAGTGCATTTGGCAGACTATACAAACGTGTCTGGAACAACAGAAACCTTAAAAGAGCCACAAAGGTCAACGTCTACAAAGCTGTTGTGCTGACCACTCTCCTGTATGGCGCTGAGTCCTGGGTCACGTACCGTCGTCACCTGAGTCTCCTCGAGCGTTTCCATCAGCGCTGCCTCCGCACAATCTTCAATATTCACTGGAGTGACTTCGTCGCCAACACTGAAGTCCTCAAGTCAGCGAAGGTCATCAGCATCGAGGCCATGGTCCTCAAGACACAGCTTCGTTGGGCAGGGCACATCGCCAGGATGGAGAACCACCGCTTGCCTAAGATCGTGCTGTATGGGGAACTGTCCTCTGGCCATCGCGACATAGGGGCACCACGAAAGCGATACAAAGACTCCCTGAAGAAGTCCCTCACTGCTTGCTGCATCGATCACCGTCAGTGGGCAACACAAGCAGCTGATCGCAACTCCTGGCGGCACACAGTCCACCAGGCCACCTCCTTCTTCGAAGATACCCGCAGGGCCCGTATGGAGGACAAAAGGAGGAGGAAGAACCATGATCCCTCAGCACCCATCCCAGATGAGACCTATACTTGCAGCTGTTGTGGCAGGACCTGCTTGTCCCGCATAGGCCTCTTCAGCCACCAGCGTGCCTGCAGAAGACGTGGATGTCCTTCCTAGATCTTCGTTCGCGAAGCCAAGCCATGATGATGAGTGTATAGTGTAGTGTATAGTGTAGCGTATAGTATGTAGTGCATAGTAGCGTACAATAGTGTCGTGTTTCGCATACCTGTCAACCCCTTATCAGTGCCTATCTTATTACAGACCAATTCAGGCCTAATTGGTCACCCCGTGCCCCTTATACATCTCAACGTTCATTCTACAAAGTCCCATCACAAGGTAGAAACACAAATTGACAAAATTAATTTTTATTGCCGGTATTGAAACGGCTTTACGCCGTATGGACCTGAAAACTCAAAATTTCCATGTACAAGAATATGGGTAAAGGGCCGTCCATAAATGACGTCACGCACCTGGGGGGGGGGGTCAGACATTTGTGACGATGTGTGACGAGGGGGGGGGGTTTGAGAAGAAATGTGACGTCACATCAAAATGCGCAACTTTGCATAAATATAAACACGTTCTACTTAATTAAATAGACTTTTTAATAAATGTTTTTATCCTGCAACATCAGAGTGCAGCGCCACATTAAATACGCACTACAATGACAATAGTTTAAAGCGATTTGAAGCCACTTTTATATTTTTTTGACGTCACATTTGAGGGGGGGTCTGACTTTTTGTGACGCCGTGTGACGAAGGGGGGGGGGGGTCAAAACTCGTCCAAAATCGCGTGACGTCATTTATGGACAGCCCCTAAAGCGTATGGGTTGATAGGGATGCCTTTTTGATGATGTTGGGTAGTTTTACATAGTCCACAATTGCGGCACAAACCAGTTGGTTCATCTTGGAGCATCTTTACTCGAGTTAACACATTCCTCCTGCGGAGGGAGCTAGTAGGAACGTTGGGTTGCTCGGTCAATGGCCAGGGTCAACGGCGGCGTGGTGTATTCCGCAAATATGCCCGACTGTGAGGGCGGGCACAAGCCGGCGTGAGTAGGTTAAACGTTTAAGGGCACCACGGGGTGACCAGCCCCTCCCCACCCAGCCCCACCCTCCTCACCCAGCCCCTCCCCACCCTCCCCTCTCCATCCAGCCCCACCCCTCCCATTTTTGTATGCACGACGGATGGACGGACACAATAATCCCCTGTGGGCTGGTGTAACCAGGAGGTTCCTACCAGTATAATGGCCCCTTCCCCAACCCCTTGTTGTAGAAAGATGGACAGAGAAAATGCATAAACGCTTTTAAACTGTTGGGAAACTAAACAAAAATAAATCTACTTATACAGTGAAAATGTCAGAATAATAAAACACGTTTCTCAATTAGAATCTTGAAAAAAGATTTATTATTTAAAAAACGCAATCCTTTCATTGTATTCCAAACGAAACAAAAACTACACACAGTAGTTTAGGGGATATACAGCTGACTGAACAGCTCGCTCATTGGCCCCAAGGAGCATGTGACTGCTCCAATGCTCTTTCACCAGGCATGCATCAGTGTATGTGTGTCATCCACCAACCTCCTCCCTAGATCTACATCTAGGATGGGTGAACGTCTTACCTCCAAGGACCAGTCTGTCTCATCAACATCTGGGTGCCACTCCAATGTCTGTCTCAGTAATGTGCCCTCCTCCTCCTCCTCCATCCTCCTCTTCATGATTTGAGCCCAATTACTTTCCTGCCTCTCGTTCTAAACTTCAAAGTTAATGACCCTATCGTGGTGCGAAATTCCCAGTATTATCCACGCGCTCCTATACTGAAAGGCCAAGATATGTATGATCTTTTCGTTGCTTTGTTAGTATCCATGTAGCAACTCACACCACCACCACCACCACCCCAAACTCAGATACAAGGAATTATCAGGATTCAGTCACAATTTGACTCAACGATCAAAGTATATTTTTGAATCTCGTTAAGTTTGAATTCTCCATCTCACATGTTCTTTTCCATTGATTCTATCTCATTTGTTCCTACCATTCTGCTATAGAAAACATTTTCATATATTACTGCGTAGCTTTTCGTGGTCGTCCTGTTGTCAGTTCGCACCGCGTGCTGTTCGACATAATGTCCGACGTTTCGCTCTGTGTTTTGTGAGGCTCTTTGGGAAGAAGGCGTTTCCTTCACGAGGAAGCTCCCAGCACGTGCAGAAAAACACGTACGGTAACCCAGAAACTCATTCCCACTTGGAGCAGAACTGTCCCACAAAAATACTAAAGCCGCCATCCCCTAAAGCCGCGCAGCGCGTCACTCGGGTCAAAGCACCCTTTCCCCCAGGTGTGCGTTCTGGTGGCTCATCAGGGCGTTGAAGTCCGCGAAGGTCTGCGGGCACACGACACAGCGGTACAGATTCTCGCCCGCGTGCTTGTGCTGGTGGTGCTTGAATCGGTAGAGGTACGAGAACTCCTGGCCACACACGCCGCAGCGATAGGGCTTCTCGCCCGTGTGTGTGCGCACGTGCACCTTGAGGTTGCCGTTGCGCGAGAAAGACTGGTGGCACAGCTTGCACTGGTATGGCTTCTCGCCCGTATGCGTGCTCTGGTGCGCCTTGAGGTGCGACTTCTGCGTGAACGACTGGCCGCACATCTTGCAGCGGTACGGCTTCTCGCCCGTGTGCGTGCGCTGGTGGTCCTTGAGGTGGCAGTTCTGCGAGAAGCTCTTCCTGCACACCGTGCACTGGTATGGCCTCTCGCCAGCGCCCGAGCCAGACTGCACGGTCCACTGCTGGCCAACGTGAAACTCTAGGAGGTCGACGTCATGGAGAGGAGGGCACGGCTCATCGTTCAACGGAGACACGTTTAGGCCCGGCGCCTCCTGTTGGAGAGTTTGTCCGCTGACGAGCGGAGCGGGCGTGTAGACGACGCTGAGGGGTAACTCTGCGGCGTCAGCGTCACTTCCGTGCGTTTCGCTGCCCGTCTGCCGCTGCTGCTGCGGTTGCCGTGTCCAGGGATGTGCACCAGCCTTGATAGAGTCCGTGAGGTCCAGTCCCACCTCTTGAAGAACGTTTACATCTTGGACGATGTTGCTTTTTCCTGGATGCAATGAAAAAGAGAAATAATTTACATTCAAGTCTCTCCTTCTTACAAGTTGGCTCTTGGTTGTGAAGGCCATTGATATTTTTAATTCCCACATGACAATTGAAGTGATAATTTTGTCAGTGCTGCAAAATGAAATGTAATTATTTTCTTTTGTTAAAGTTCAGTCAGTGGTGACCAACCGAGGCCATTTAACTCACTCCGCTTGAGAAAATAGTTTATTCACCGATGACTGAAAACTGGATTTTAACCCAGAATCTCAGTTGTTGTCATCTCAGCGTTCTGACCTCTAAAGCTACCCAGCCACCTCTGAAGTAATTGTGGTTTGATAATTGTTTTTTTACCCTTCTATCTGGCAACAAAACTGACACTTTTTTTACAAGGAGTCATGTTTGCATAGACCACAATAACTGCAGTCATAATGCAAACACAAAACATAACTCTGATAATGTATGCACTGTCCTTGAAGTTGATTGGTCCACACCCGAGACAGCTTTCCTTAGAGCCTAGTCTCACATGGGTTGGACCAGATGACGCCAAAAGGCGCACAACTCAAAGAAAATGCACCATCAGAGTATGAGAGCTCGGGGTAAGCATTTACACCATTGTTTGCATTATGACTGCAGGTATTGTGGTCTAACCCATGTGAGACTAGGCTCTAAGGAAAGCTGTCTCAGGTGTGGACTAATCAACTTCAAGGACAGTGCACATTATCAGAGTTATGTTTTTTGTTTGCATTATGACTGCAGGTATTGTGGTCTATGTAAACATGACTCCTTGTAAAAAAGGTGTCAGTTTTGTTGCCAGATAGAAGGGTAAAAAACCAATTATCATATTTTTTACTGGCAAATGAGGTTCCAATGGTGTAATTGTGGTTTATTGTCTTACCTCCATGGGCCTCCGTTTTTATCGCGATTAATGTCTGGTTGAGATCAGGGTCGTCCACTTCTGAAGCCAGTTTCTCTCCACCTTCATCTGATGCGAAGAAAAAAACACCAACTATATTGTTAAGGTTATTGCGGTTAAACGCCTCTCATCAGTGGTGACGTGGCTGGAGGTACTGTTCGCGAATATTAATCGTGAATCGAGTTTGCACTCCGATAATTTTTTGTATTGTTTTATACCTGTCAACCCCTTATGAGTGCCTAGCTTATTAAAGACCAATTCAGACCTTAATGGTCACCCCGTGCCTTTATAAATCTCAATGTTCATCCTACAAAGTCCCATTATAAGGGATAAACACAAACAAATAGACACATTTTTGTTTTTGCCCGTATTGAAACAGCTGTACGCCATATGGACCTGAAAACTCAAAATCTCCCTGTACAAGAATATGGGTAAACCGTATGGGTTGACAGGTATGTTTGTTGTTGTAACTTTCCGACCCACCCCTACTGGACATCTGTGAAAAAAAGCTTCATAGCTCATCGGATTTCTCCAGGATAAATATTCTGAAAATAAATAATAAATAAAGATTCTGATTTGCAGAAAACTCCTGCAAAGTTACCCGCGGATAAATGCAGATGTACACACGTGCATGAGTGTAAATTGACAAAGCACTGATGGATAAGGGCCTCCACATGCCGTGTCGGTGATAGGGGGTTATTTGACTATACTTCACCACAATAGTGCGTGTTGATGGAGGGGAGCACGGATGTGATGTGAATAGCAGGATAATAGTCATCGGGAGCCACTAACAGAAACTCGGTTATTACATTTCACATCGCGCTTGCTTCCACCTCATTAAAAGAAGAGACAACCCAAAAAAACAAAGAGCTCTCCGATCTTTTTTATTTATTTAAAGCTTTTGTGACTGCAGGGATTCATATTCTTGGTTCTTTCGGTAAAGTCACGTAAAAGGGAAATAATAAAATAATAAAACTATTAAACAATTTAATTCTCACGACATTTCGACTGCAACACAAGCAATCATCATCAGGTGTGAAATCCACAACAAGAACATTTGAAAAAAGTGGCATTTTTTTCTTAACGTCAGCATCACGGACAGCGATTTGGCAGTTGATCAGATGGACAAGTCCATCTATGTTCGGAAAAGAGGAGGGGGGAGAAGAAAATGGAATGCGGTCTGAAAGTTACCGTAAGCATGAACACAATCAATTAAGACCCAAAATGGTTTATCAAATCCTTCAAATGATTGCTAAGCCAGAATCCATCTTCTCGGTTGAAATTGTCTCTAACAATAGACCTCTAACAATAGAAATAAATCTGAGATTGAAAGCTTCAATCATGATAAACTATTTGAAAGTGACTTTCAGCTGTGCCCTAGAGATGCCGATGCACTGGCGTTGTATTAACGAGGGCTGAAAACACTGCAGATATGTCAAGAGATGTCTCATTAAAGTCACTCGCCAACGATGTTTCAGTCTCATGTTGGACAGCTCAGGACATGCAATGCAGTTGTGCAGCTACAAGCTAAGGCATTTCTGTTGTAATGGTTTTGTGTATTTAAATTGGGGGAAGAGCGGTGACACAGTGTTTGCGTATCGCACTCTGAACACAGCAACCTGAGTGTGGTTTCCGGCCAGGGCTACGAACATCAATGGCAGTGTGATATCTGAACCGATCATGGGTCACCAGCCCTCTTCCCACCACCCCGCAATCCCCCCCCAGTCCAAGGCCTTGTGATCAGTGTGGGGAAGTATTATCAAATCACCCCCAAGACCAACAGTGTGGGGAGGCCTTCAGGCAGCAGTGGAATGGCAAAGAGCTGTCCATCAGGTTACTTCCTTTAAATTAAGTCTCCGTTCAGCTGAAACACCTTTTGTGAAAGATCCAACGAAGAATATCCCTGGGTTTGATCTTCAAAAAAACTCATGGTCCACCCTAAATCGCATCCGTACAAACCATGGCAGATACGGATACCCGATGCACAAATGGAAAATTAAAAACTCTCCAGTGTGCGACTGTGGTCATCCAGAACAGACCGTACAACGTATTAACGACGCAATGCCCGATCCACAAACATGAAGAAGACATTACGGCGATACACTCCGCTGCTCCTGCAAGGTTGCCTGGCTCTGCGTCTACATCAGCCATATGAAAGAATAAGAATAAGTAAGTCTCACCTCCACAGGTCTCACTTTTCAGTGTGCACTCAACTTGACTGCAGTTCAAGCCGCCCGTTTCTTGGGCCCTGTTCTTCCCTTCTTTCTCATTTGCAACAAGAGGGGAGGGGGGAGGGCAGACATTCAAACAAGACATCAGTGAAAAAAAGAAATCCAAAAGGTGCAGACCTGCAATTACTTGCTGGGAATTGAGGAAGAGACGTCAGCAAAATGACGCTTGCCACTGAAAACCTTCCCAAGTCCCCAGGGAGTTACAAGTGTCCTGTCTTACCCTGGCCACACTGTTACGATACACATTCACCTCAAGCGAGGGGTAAGGAAGCTTTACTCTTCGGTTCTTTCAGTAAAGTCACGTAGAAAGATAAAATAATAAAGTCACGTAGAAAGAGAAAATATTATTTAATTTATTATTTTCTCTTTCTACGTGACTTTACCGAAAGCGCCAAATCAAGGAAGCTTTACCCGAGGGCCGAATAGGACACCCTCAATATTTTGGACATGAATCCTGTTTTTTTTTTTTAAGCCCGTATTTTTCTCCTGTAAATAAGCTGACATAAATGCAAATTTTGCCGATCACGGAACCTTTAAATAAATGGTAACCGCAGGAACAGTAGGCTAAGTACCGAGTCAGCAGCCAGTAGTTCTGTAGACTTAACATTAGTACAGCACAGTGGAGCGCCTGTTTATATGTGACGAAGTGGGGGGCAGGGGGGTAAACTTCGCGGATGCTCTCAGTCATCTATCCAGGAACCACTAGGAAACATTGACTAGATAGGACACCCCCAACTTTCAAAGCGTAGCTGTGCTCCTGTCATCAACAGATCTGTGCATAACTTTTAATGCTATCCCCTCTTATGCATGGACTTTTTATGGATATTTCCATTTACTTCCACACACGAATGCAAGAGCATTCGCTAATCCTCATGCAAGAGCTGCCGGAAGAAGTCTAAACACTCAGCGAGGCTTTCCTGGATAAATAAAGGAGACTTACTGTTGTAATTATAAGTACCTCCACACGCCTCTGCTTTGATCACATGTAATGTCTGGTTGGGGTTGGCGTCCTCTCTGTCCGAGTCTGGGGTCTCTCCAAGCTCATCTGAGGAGACTTAGGCCACAGACGCACAAGGTCATTAGATTTCTGCACTTCCCAAAATCATGAAATTGAGTAATTTTTGGGTCACATCTCATAAATAAAATACGGATAGCTCTCCAACATACTGGCGTGCTGAAGCGGTCATGAACTGGTGCATTTGTTCAAGTGACAACTTTATTAATTGGCTGTCTCAGGGGGAGGATGATGGACGACAAACATTTTACTTATGCAATCTTACCCAAATAAGTAATATTTTTAAAATACTTAAAAAAAACGCTTTAATGAAATGTACCCTACTAGTAATGGCAGAACTCCACGACTCCAGGAAGTGGCCCCGAAGCTTGCCATAACGTAAGGGGCCGTGGTGATTTACAGGCAACGCGAGTTGAGCGTGGACAATTATACCCAAGCCGAAACATAAGATATCAAAAACTTTGCTTAGAAATATATATATTTTATTTTTAATGATCAAATATAGTATTGTCATCAGTATGACATACGTATACCAAGTTTGCAGTCGATACGACATTGGGAAGTGGGTTAAAATTGAGTTATAAGATTTGAGGATACGACAACAGAGTGAGTTAAATAAAAGCGTGTAAAATATGAATCTTTTGTTCGCTAAAACCTACATGCTAAACATATCTCACATTGTTTCATCGTATTCCCAAATGTTATCCTGACTCATCATTGTCACATCATGAGATGATGAATCAATTCTGGTCTCGTGCAGAGCAGTGCAACCCTTCGTGTAAGAGAAGAGCCAGCGGAACCGGATACTACAGAGGTACCTCTTAAGAGGCCTTCCTGTGAGGTAGGGGGCAGAACTTTCCCAGCCACTTTGCCACTGAGAGTAAAGTTCATCGCATGGCAGTAAAAAATATTAATGTAATACAGTACTCAAAGCAGGAATGTCAAAATTAGTTTTTTTCTGCAGTCATTGGTGACCAGGCATAGACCATAAACTTCCAGCACTGATAACCCAGTTGAATCTAAACTATTTATTATTTTACCAGATAAAGCCCTCTGAGCTATTATTTCAGAGGTGACCTAGCCACACATGACAGCTCATTAAAGTGGCTATAATCATATGTGGGAATTTATAGTCAACAAATAATCTAAATGCATGTTTGTAAATGTGTAGGGAAAAAATTAGAGGACTCGGAGAAAAATCCATGCGACCTCAGGGAGAACTTACAAACTCCTAATATACAGGCGTCAAGGTTGGGAATCGAACCCACGATCTCCTGCGTATCAGGAAAGGGAGATAACATTACGCCACCGTGAGCTGGCTGCCTACATTAGAATCCAAGAAATTGGATCTGGGCAGCAGGTTTGATTGAATCTCAACAGCATTCACTGCTTTATCAGCTCCTGGAAAGACTGCACCTTTACCATTCATTGTGTATTCATCCATTTCATGCATCGTGTTGTCCTCAGGTGTGACCACTCTTGTGGCTGAAGTGGAAACCCCAGTACATGTTCCTTGGTTGTCCATGGCTCCCAACCTCCGCACAGACAGCAGCAGCTCCCGGCTCAAGCCGCTGAACAGTGCGAGCAGCACGTCCACCAGGCCTCCCAGTGTCACGTCGCCAGGGTTGGAGGAGGTTGCGGCGTCGTCCCAGCGCGCCGTCCCAGCGTCGTGGGGCTCAGCGCCCTGCAGGACCTTCACCACCTGCCGCAGCACGGCGTAGAAGCCGAAGGGCAGGCGGTCGCGCGCCGTGGCCAGTAGCTCGGCCCGCACGAGGCCGTCCCTGACACAGGCACGCAGGACCCCGTAGTCCCGGATGCCCAGCTCCGAGTCCATGGCCCGGGCCACCTCCTCGTTCACGCCCTGCGCCTCCAGCCACGCCGGGAAGTCCCCGCTCGGCTCCAGCACCGGGGTGGCCACTGCGCACGCCATCTGATGGGATGTGCAGAGGGCGAGAGTGTGTAGGGTCAAAAAGGTTGACGTTAGATTCACATCAAAGCATCAAGATGCAGTGTCCTTCAAGCAATAACAAATGGTAATCTTAATTTTTAACATACAATTATCAAATGTACAAGCTTTTTTGCCCGTCCAAGGATGAGTGTATATTGAAATAAATCTGAAATATTCAATAGAAAAATTGTTCAACTGATGATTATTCAAAGTCACGTAGATAGGTTCAAAGAAAATAACAAAAAGTAATTAAAAAACGACCACGTTTCGCGTTCGTTATCAGGAAGAAAAAAAAAGAGCTTATGATTATTAATGAGGGGGGTTACCCCATGTGGAGTGACGTCACCCGCTAATGGTTATTGGGGAGGGGTGCGGCATGTGGAGTGACGTCACCCCCTCATGGTTATTGTGGAGGGGTGCGGCATGTGCAGTGCGCGACCTTCTTGTGCGTTTGTGTAAATTTCCACGCGGGCAAGAATATTAATAAAAAGGGGGGGCCTTTTTGAAGTGACGTCACGCACGGATGTAGCACTGTGCAGCGTAGATTTATTTTTTACAATCACTTTCTGTAAAGAAACGTCATATTTGAAGCGACTTTGCGTAATAAATGATTTAATTCAGCTCGACCTTCCTCTGCGTTAGTGTAAAAATCCACCCACTCATGAATATTAATGAGGGGGGGGGTGGGCCTGATATGGAGTGACGTCACGCAGGGGGGGTGGGCATCATGTGGAGTGACGTCACGTGCGGGACGGACAGACATTTCTGGGTGATGGGTAATTTAAACCAAACAAAACAAAAAAAACTGTACAATTCCCATATTCTCTTGATTCTAAGATGCTCCAAAATGTGAGATGCACTTCAAACCTTGGAATTATTTTGAAATAAAAAGCGTTTGTTATAAATTTGAAGGCAATCTTCCGAAAGATGATTATCAAAACGTTACAAAGAGTATGGATTCCTGCAGTCACGAAAGCTTCAAATCAAGATAGTGTAAAGTAGTGTATAGTAGTGTATCGTAGTGTATAGTGTAGTGTATAGTAGTGTAGTGTATAGTCGTGTAGTGGTGTATAGTAGTGTAGTGTATAGTAGTGTAGTGTATAGTATAGTGTATAGTAATGTAGTCTATAGTAGTGTAGTGTATAATGTGGTGTATAGTAGTGTAATGTATAGTGTAGTGTATAGTAATGTAGTCTATAGTAGTGTAGTGTATAGTGTGGTGTATAGTAGTGTAGTGTATAGTGTAGTGTATAGTAGTGTAGTGTATAGTAGTGTAGTGTATAGTAGTGTAGTGTATAGTCGTGTAGTGGTGTATAGTAGTGTAGTGTATAGTGTAGTGTATAGTGTAGTGTATAGTAGTGTAGTGTATAGTAATGCAGGGTATAGTGTAGTGTATAGTGTAGTGTATAGTCTAGTGTATAGTAGTGTAGTGCATAGTGTAGTGTATAGTAGTGTAGTGTATAGTCTAGTGTATAGTAGTGTAGTGCATAGTGTAGTGTATAGTAGTGTAGTGTATAGTGTAGTGTGTAGTGTATAGTGTATAACATAGATATGAGAATGGTCAAACGACCGGTCACGGCCTGCATTCAGCAGCGGATTGACAACGAACTCCGTTGTTTATTATTACATCGGTAGAGAATGCCCCCCTCCGCCCACGCCGCCGAACTTGCCTTTACGTAGGTAGGGCGAGAATCTGTCGGTTCTTTAAGCGCGATTAAACGTCGCAAATACGCACATTTAGAGAAAGAATAAAAAAATAAACGCGTAACGAGACGCCAAATGTTAAGTTGATGATCGTTGAAGTTGCACGCAGGAGCGCTTCGCCTCCCCGTTCACAAACGGCCGATTCGCCCCGTTAGGGACGGCGGCGATTTTGCGATCGTTTGACCCGTAGATCAGTTTGAACGCTTTCGTGACCAATGTTATGTTATGGGGCCGTCCATAAATGACGTCACGCGATTTTTGACGATTTTTGACCCTCCCCCACCCTCGTCACACGGCGTCACAAAAAGTCAGACCCCCCCCCCTCAAATATGACGTCACAAAGCTCTGCCCCCCCTCCTCCCAAACCATATTTCCATTTTGAAAATAAAACATGCTTCAAATCGCTTTAAACTATTGTCATTGTAGTGCGTATTTAAAGTGGCCCTAAATGACGTCACGCACCTGAGGGGGGGGGGTCAGACATTTGTGACGATGTGTGATGAGGGGGGGGGGGGGGTTTGAGAAGAAATGTGACGTCACATCAAAATGCGCAACTTTAAATAAACATAGACAACACGTTCTACTAAATTAAATAGACTTTTTAATAAATGTTTTCTCCTGCAACATCAGAGTGCAGCGCCACATTAAATACGCACTACAATGACAATAGTTTAAAGCGAATTGAAATGTGTTTTATTTTGGAAGGGGGGGGGCAGAGCTTTGTGACGTCATATTTGAGGGGGGGGGGTCTGACTTTTTGTGACACCGTGTGACGAAGGGGGGGGGGGATTTATACAAATAGTGGCAGAGAAAATTTTAGTGAATTTCCGAACCAAAATGCGTTTCCCTTCCTGCAATTTAATTCTACTTCAATGCACGTTTTATGAACCAAGACTTACACTTGTTGCGGATGACTGGTGGCAGCGCGTTAGCTTCTTGATGCACAGATGCACGGTTCGGAATCGAGAGGCCGCCCTAGTTATTATACTGCGGCTGCATTAACCGTATAAAAAAAAAAAACTAAAATACCCGCCGCCAGGGCCGGATTAAGATTCTTGTAGGCCCTATGCACTTCTTTTTCGTAGGTCCTTCGGTGATACCTTTGTACAGTTGGCACTGTTGATGCCCTCGATGTTACTACCGCCGCTTGTTTCATGCGTTACTTCGTCCAGCCGCTGGACCAGGGGCGGTTTCTTCATTAGGGCGATTGGGCGACGCACCACCAATGTCATTCAACCACAGAGTCACGCTAGCCGTCACTGTGTCTCTGGATATAGTCCAATCAGCGTCATGTCACGTTCTGTGGAGTACTGCCTCTTTTTGGGCGATTTCACTCCGGCTGAGAATCGCCCCGAGTGGCCCCATAGACTTACATTCAAAGATGTTTTTTTTTCGAACGGGGGGCGCTGCAATGCATTCTCTATGGGTTCCGGGAGGGCTCGCACGAACGTGCTTACGTCATCATACGTAAGCACGTTTCATCCAACAATATAATTTGTCGCCACCTAGTGGAATCTTTAATAAAAGATACTTGAGTGGATTGTATTAATAGTGAGTATAGAAACAAACAAGATGTATTGTAAGAGTCACTTTATTTTTCATTAATATTAAAGAAGTGAAGTTGCCTTTACATGCTTAAGCTGTTAATTTATCCATTGCATGGGTGGACCTTATCCTTATCAATCATCCAGACATTTGCCCCCCCTGAGAGATTTTGCAGGAGCCGCCACTGCGCTGGACAGATGTTGTTACTGCTGATACGTTCATTATTTAGTCTGTGTCTTACTTCAATGCAAAAACGCTGTCTGCAGTGGAAACGCAGATTGAATTTGAAATTACCGAAGAGAAAACAAACAAGATAAGCCTAAACATATTCTAAGCGAAACTGTCTTCAACTAATTTTTGTTTACTACAATCATCATATCGGATGATGCCGCTGTAAAAGGATGCCATTCATTTTCGTCGATAACAAATTAAATATTCTGACAGCACGAGCGCATGTCGTTTAAGCTTAATTATTTGTTTGACGTTATCTTAGGTGTAATACGCGTCGCTTGCAACGAGTCAACGACTTGGTACCACTGCAAAGAAATTCCAAAGATCAGCTATATAAATATATTTATTCAAGATGGTATCGTGGTTACATTTTTTTATAATACATACAAACATTAGAAAACACATGGTCAACTTGTTTTCGTAGGACCTATGGCAACATTGCCTTATGTGGCCTATTGGATAACATGGCCCGGCCCGTCGCCTGCTTCACAGGTCAATCGCAAAAGTAGGCTACCATATGGCAGTCTCATAGTCCTTGCCAACTTTGTAAAAGAAAATACCCGCAAATTGACTCAATTGGAATACAATTATGCGTAGCAAATCACCATTCCAATTCCAAAAACTCGGCAGCCTTGGCAGGGCCCTCTTGAAAAAGTCATGAGAGTCAGTGAGGTTTTCCTAGGCAAACAAGCATCATAACAATAAATCATCCAGAATGTGACAGAGCTTGCCATAATTCAGGATTGAACCTGGATAGTACTTGAATGGGTGACCACGATGCATAACAGGTGTTGTGAATTTTCGTTGTTGTTGCAGTACCGCTCTGCTGACAACATAGCCCTTTTTAACACGGTAGGCTTTCGCGACCAATATCATCCATAATCGAGGTTTTTTGGGGTTAGATCCAGGGGCGGTTTCTTCATTAGGGCGATTGGGCGATGCACCACCAATGTCATTCAACCACAGAGTCACGCTAGCCGTCACTGTGCCTGTGGATATAGTCCAATCAGCGTCATGTCACGTTCTGTGGAGTACCGCCTCTTTTTGGGCGATTTCACTCCGGCTGAGAATCGCCCCGAGTGGCCCCATAGACTTACATTCAAAGATGTTTTTTTTCGAACGGGGGGGCGCTGCTATGCATTCTATATGGCTTCCGGGAGGGCTCGCCCTAACGTGCTTACGTCATCATACGTAAGCACGTTTCATCCAACAATATAATTTGTCACCACCTAGTGGAATCTTTAATACAAGAAACTTGAGTGGATTGTATTAATAGTGATTATAGAAACAAACAAGATGTATTGTAAGTCACTTTATTTTTCATTAATATTAAATAAGTGAAGTTGCCTTTACATGCTTAAGCTGTTAATTTATCCATTGCATGGGTGGACCTTATCCTTATCAATCATCCAGACATTTGCCCCCCCTGAGAGAATTTGCAGGAGCCGCCACTGGTTAGATCACGTAAATATATAAATGTGTCGTTAAAACCCGCCATCGGTGTAGACGAGTGAGGGCGGTGGGCCCACGTCGTGTGATCGGCCGTGTGTGTAGCCAGTGGAGACGTTAATATCTAAGTGTTGTACTCAGAATGAGAAAGGTCAAGTTTGCCTGTGTTGTGCTCGTGTCAGAATAAAAGAAGACACGACGTGTCGCAGAAATCGCTCATTACACATGGAATATTTTGAAACAAAAGCAATAGCTTCAAGCACACTAAAACCATCTGCTTGGTTTAGATATGTGGATGACACATTGGTGGTCTGGCCACACTGCAAAGATACACTGAACGCATTTCTAAGTAATCTCAACTCACAAAACCCATCCATACAGTTCACCATGGAAGTGGAAGCTCACAGAACTCTACCATTTATGGATATTCTGCTCGGACAGGGTCTAAATGGTAAAATAACAGAGAAATCTGCTCTTATCAAGATGCTCATTCATCGAGCTAAGAAAGTGTCAGATGGTGACAGTCTGAGAAGTGAAATTCAACATTTCGATTTAAAGCTTTCGTGACTGCAGGGATTCATCTTCTTAGTTCTTTCGGTAAAGTCACGTAGAAGGGAAGTAATAAAATAATAAAAATAAAACATAATAAAATAAAATAATTCTCACGACGTTTCGGCTACAACGCAAGCAGCCGTCTTCAGGTGAAGAATGAGACAATGCCAAGCTAGGAGCTTATATATAAGCTGCGTTGGAGGTGGAGGAAAGAGCGCCTTAACAAAAGAATGTGCATATGAAGAGGAATTTAGCATATTCATGGAAAATGTGTAGGAGGTGGGCGGGGGGGGTTTAAAATCAGATTATGCCCATGCATTATGCAGGATCAACAGCACCAAGGGGGGGTGCAGGGATTAGCAGTAACAAAGGAAAGGAATGTTAATGATATGTAGCTGCAGTTAATCAACCACCACGTAGAAAACTAAAGTATAAACTACATAAAAAACTAAAGTATAAATAGCATAGCACCATCAGTATACTTACTATACTCTACACTAAGCTGAGTTACTAACAGCAAGTAATACATTACAATTCTACGTCGTAAAAATTATATAATATGCTTCCATCTAAACTTTATTCTATTGCATCACACGAGCATATACCGTACTATATACTGCCAACATTAAATTATATACTGTATTGCTGTAAACCAACCTATATCTTATACATTTAATATAACACTATGTATTATTCTACCCACCCTAATGTGTGTCGAAATGGTTTATTACGTCCTTCCAATGATTGCTAAGCCAGAATCCATCTTCTCGGTTAAAATTGTCTCTGTGTTTGTATATGTGGATCGCCTCATGAACGAATCTCTCATGATAGCCAGATGGCTTGCAGAGAACCTCTGTCTTGGAGAAGTCAATATCATGTGAGCCCACTGAGTTGTAACAGTGATCTGCCACGGCTGAGGAGTTTGTCCTACCGTGTTTCAGGTCAGCTTTATGTTCACGGATGCGGTCCGAGACATGTCGTTTGGTTTCCCCAATGTAACTGCTACCACAGAGGCAACTTAGTTTGTAGACGCCAGGGTACTGTATGTCTGGAACCACATCTTTTACAGACGGTACCAGATCACGGATTTTATGTACTGTGTTGAATCGGACCTGGATCTTGTGTTTAATCAGGATTTTGGAGATCTTTTTTGTGACCCCAGCAATGTAGGGTAAGGTGATGGTCTTGAAAGGCTCCTCAACAGGATCCTTCTTGATGGTTGGAGTGATGGCTTTGCGGATTGTGTAGTCGGAGTAACCATTAACCTTAAGAGCTTGGCGTACGTGTTTGAGTTCACTGGCAATGTGTTCATGGTCGGAGATGCATTGGGCTCTATGATATAGAGTCTTGATGAGGGAATTCTTCTGGGATGGATGGTGGTGGGAATCCGGTTTTAGATAAGCATCCGTATGGGTGGCTTTCCTGTAGACAGAGTGGCTCATTGAACCATCAGGTCTCCTTTTGATTAGGACATCCAAAAAGGGTAGCTTGCCATCTTTTTCGACTTCCATGGTGAATCTGATGGCTGGGTGTATGGAGTTGATGTGGTCGAGAAATTGGTCTAGAGCAGCACGGCCATGTGGCCAGATGACAAAAGTGTCGTCTACGTACCTCTTCCATAAGGTCGGGCGTAGAGTGGCAGTCTGGATGGCGTCCGTCTCAAATTTCTCCATGAAGATGTTGGCTACAACCGGAGATAGGGGGGAGCCCATTGGGGTGCCCTCAGTTTGCTTGTAGAAAGTTTCATTCCAGGTGAAGTATGTATTGGTTAAGCAGTGTCTCACCAGGGGGGGTACCCCAGCATTCAGTCCATGATGAACCAAGTCTTCAATGATTGCGATGGTATCAGGTACAGGAACCTTGGTGAATAAGGAAACCACATCAAAACTGACAAGCAGGTCGTCTGGGGACAGGGCAATCCCCTTGATTGTCGATACCAGGTCAGTAGAGTTTAGTACCGCAGAGGTGGTTTTTCCAGTGAAAGGCCGTAGGATTTCAGACAAAAAACGAGCCAATTTATAGGTGGGGGAGTTGATAGTAGAGACAATGGGACGAAGAGGTGTATCTTCTTTATGTATCTTTGGCAAGCCGTATAATCTTGGTGGCCTGGCTGCAGAAGGTTTCAACGAGAACTGTTTGGTCTGATCAAATAATGCGGTTGAATCAGAAATGATTTTGTTGGTTTTAGTGACGAGGCTGTTGGTGGGGAAGACATTGTCATCCTCTCAGCCGACAAAGGCAATGCCACTGTCATCATGGACAAAATAGAATACAACAACAAAATTCAAGAACTACTCAACGATGGCAGCTATACAAAAATAAAAAGAGACCCCACCAACAGCCTCGTCACTAAAACCAACAAAATCATTTCTGATTCAACCGCATTATTTGATCAGACCAAACAGTTCTCGTTGAAACCTTCTGCAGCCAGGCCACCAAGATTATACGGCTTGCCAAAGATACATAAAGAAGATACACCTCTTCGTCCCATTGTCTCTACTATCAACTCCCCCACCTATAAATTGGCTCGTTTTTTGTCTGAAATCCTACGGCCTTTCACTGGAAAAACCACCTCTGCGGTACTAAACTCTACTGACCTGGTATCGACAATCAAGGGGATTGCCCTGTCCCCAGACGACCTGCTTGTCAGTTTTGATGTGGTTTCCTTATTCACCAAGGTTCCTGTACCTGATACCATCGCAATCATTGAAGACTTGGTTCATCATGGACTGAATGCTGGGGTACCCCCCCTGGTGAGACACTGCTTAACCAATACATACTTCACCTGGAATGAAACTTTCTACAAGCAAACTGAGGGCACCCCAATGGGCTCCCCCCTATCTCCGGTTGTAGCCAACATCTTCATGGAGAAATTTGAGACGGACGCCATCCAGACTGCCACTCTACGCCCGACCTTATGGAAGAGGTACGTAGACGACACTTTTGTCATCTGGCCACATGGCCGTGCTGCTCTAGACCAATTTCTCGACCACATCAACTCCATACACCCAGCCATCAGATTCACCATGGAAGTCGAAAAAGATGGCAAGCTACCCTTTTTGGATGTCCTAATCAAAAGGAGACCTGATGGTTCAATGAGCCACTCTGTCTACAGGAAAGCCACCCATACGGATGCTTATCTAAAACCGGATTCCCACCACCATCCATCCCAGAAGAATTCCCTCATCAAGACTCTATATCATAGAGCCCAATGCATCTCCGACCATGAACACATTGCCAGTGAACTCAAACACGTACGCCAAGCTCTTAAGGTTAATGGTTACTCCGACTACACAATCCGCAAAGCCATCACTCCAACCATCAAGAAGGATCCTGTTGAGGAGCCTTTCAAGACCATCACCTTACCCTACATTGCTGGGGTCACAAAAAAGATCTCCAAAATCCTGATTAAACACAAGATCCAGGTCCGATTCAACACAGTACATAAAATCCGTGATCTGGTACCGTCTGTAAAAGATGTGGTTCCAGACATACAGTACCCTGGCGTCTACAAACTAAGTTGCCTCTGTGGTAGCAGTTACATTGGGGAAACCAAACGACATGTCTCGGACCGCATCCGTGAACATAAAGCTGACCTGAAACACGGTAGGACAAACTCCTCAGCCGTGGCAGATCACTGTTACAACTCAGTGGGCTCACATGATATTGACTTCTCCAAGACAGAGGTTCTCTGCAAGCCATCTGGCTATCATGAGAGATTCGTTCATGAGGCGATCCACATATACAAACACAGAGACAATTTTAACCGAGAAGATGGATTCTGGCTTAGCAATCATTGGAAGGACGTAATAAACCATTTCGACACACATTAGGGTGGGTAGAATAATACATAGTGTTATATTAAATGTATAAGATATAGGTTGGTTTACAGCAATACAGTATATAATTTAATGTTGGCAGTATATAGTACGGTATATGCTCGTGTGATGCAATAGAATAAAGTTTAGATGGAAGCATATTATATAATTTTTACGACGTAGAATTGTAATGTATTACTTGCTGTTAGTAACTCAGCTTAGTGTAGAGTATAGTAAGTATACTGATGGTGCTATGCTATTTATACTTTAGTTTTTTTTATGTAGTTTATACTTTAGTTTTCTACGTGGTGGTTGATTAACTGCAGCTACATATCATTAACATTCCTTTCCTTTGTTACTGCTAATCCCTGCACCCCCCCTTGGTGCTGTTGATCCTGCATAATGCATGGGCATAATCTGATTTTAAACCCCCCCCGCCCACCTCCTACGCATTTTCCATGAATATGCTAAATTCCTCTTCATATGCACATTCTTTTGTTAAGGCGCTCTTTCCTCCACCTCCAACGCAGCTTATATATAAGCTCCTAGCTTGGCATTGTCTCATTCTTCACCTGAAGACGGCTGCTTGCGTTGTAGCCGAAACGTCGTGAGAATTATTTTATTTTATTATGTTTTATTTTTATTATTTTATTACTTCCCTTCTACGTGACTTTACCGAAAGAACTAAGAAGAGAAATTCAACATGTTAAAGAAGCGCTGCAAATTAATGATTACAATGATGCACAAATCAACAGGGCATTGAATATCAAAACCAAATCAAATAACAAGAGCATTGAAACTGCCCAAGTAATTAAAACGATCAAAATACCGTACATTGCGGGAGTAACTGATAAACTAGCCAGATATAGTAGTAGGTTTTTACCCTTTAAACTGGTACAAAACTGACACCTTTATACAAGGCATTTTTATATTTAAAAAAAAGCTTGAATGAATGGGGCATGAATTATAAGGTCCTGCGGAAAGATGCAGCCCTGTGTTAATGCACGTGTAGTGACGCAGATCGGAGACAGTAATACTTGCAGGCACCTCTTTATTCTTTACTCACAATGGGGACTATACACTCTACGGGGGTGCACACTATTATATACATCTGTACACACACAACCGTCTATTGTCGGCGGCACTATCTAACTAAACAGTTGGCAGGCTGTCTAGCTCGCAGCACCCAGTGATGGTGAAGACGGCGTCGATGGTGGTGACGAACAGCAGCTTGGCCAGGGGGTCCACTTTCAGCAACAGCCCCGAGCTCTGGCTCAGGGCCTCCTCTTATCCTCCCGGCGTAGCCTTGCTCCGCCCTCACCACGCCCCCCTTCTGGAACCTACTAGCAGGTTGTCGTCTCTTGACCTGTGTACTGCCCTATCTTGTAGTTACACTTTGTAGACAGCAGCGAGCGCTATTCCACTACATACGTATACAATCGTGATTCATCATAAACACACACCTACTGGATTATTAAACACGCCCCAGAGCTTTGCTTTAAGATACAGGGAAAAGATGTTTTTATAATTCAGAGAATATGACAGCGGGAAGTATCAAGTGACCAAAAACGTCGATGCCCGAGCACAACTGCACATTGAAGAAACGACAAGATTTTTTCGATTTAAAGCTTTCGTGACTGCAGGGATTCATCTTCTTGGTTCTTTCGGTAAAGTCACATAGAAGGGAAGTAATAAAATAATACAAATAAAACATAATAAAATATTTCTCACGACGTTTCGGCCACAACGCAAGCAGCCGTCCTCAGGTGAAGAATGAAACACCACCAAGTTTGGAGCGTATATTTAAGCTGGGTTGGAGGGGGGGAGGGGGGAAGAAGAGCGCCTTGACAAAATAATTTGCATATCAAGAGGAATTTAGCATATGGAAAATGCGTAGGAGGTGGGCGGGGGGGTTTCAAATTAATATTATGCCCGTCCATTATGCAGGATTATCAGCATCAAAGGGAAGGGGGAAGGGGGGTAGCATTAACAAGGGAAAGGAATGTTAATAGTATGTAGCTGCAGTTACTAAACAACCACGTAAAAAAAACTAAAGTATAAACTACATAAACAACTAAAGTATAAACTACATAGCATCATCAGTATACTATACTCTACAATAAGCTGAGTTACTAACAGTAAGTAATACATTACAATTCGACGTCGTATATAATTTTTACGACCTTTACAAATGACTGAAACAAATTCAATCATGTTTATGATTGTAGCGAAGAGTGGCAGGGCAAATGATGTTTCAATTCTGGCCAATGTTCATTTTGAAAGGTTTAATTTCGATTTAAAGCTTTCGTGACTGCAGGGATTCATCTTCTTGGTTCTTTCGGTATTTTATTATGTTTTATTTTTATTATTTTATTACTTCCCTTCTACATGACTTTACCGAAAGAACCAAGAAGATTTGAAAGGTTTATTAAGGATGCAAATGCTGTTGTCCATGCAGCTTCATTCTTCAATGAATTCCACATGTCTTTCCACCCTCAAAGGCCAATACATAAAAAATCAGTTACCACCCTCCTCATGTGCAGCTGTACAAGGGCACTGCTATTCGCATGTATTACATCTGGAATATATATTGCACAGGATGACCAGGGTCATGCCCAATTCACTCCGATATTCTTAGGGCAACCCAGACATTTACTACTATAATGAGCCAAGAATATTCTTAGGTTTTTTCGGTAAAGTCACGTAGGTAAAAAATTTAAATTTATAAAAGTAAAATAAAACAGCTGTCGGGCTGTGACGGTTCCACCTGAAGACAGAAGCTTGTGTTGCCTCCGAAACGTCGTGATTTTATTTTTATTTTACTTTTATTAATTTTAATTTTTTACCTACCTGACTTTACCGAAAAAACCTAAGAATATGAATCCTTGCAGTCACGAAAGCTTCAAATCTAGAATTAATGAGCCAAGAATGTCTGTGTGTCCCGCGCGTGACGTCATTCCACGTCGGCCAGCCCCCCTCATTAATCAACATGAACAGGTGACGTCCTCCACATAGCCCTCCCCCTCATTTTATATTTACTGCAATACACCCGTCCTTGGATGGGCAAAAGGCTAGTGGTTGATATTAATACAAAATAATCATTACAAAACAAGTCTTTTTCCTTATTGAAAGGGCTTTGCACTTGATAAAAACTAACAAGACATGCAGGACTTAACATCTCGATCGATATTTTCCAGAACGCTGCTAGGTTGGCTTGCAGTAGTGATCATCAGTGTAAGGCACTACCACTAGAGAACAAGATATACCTCTCAACAATCTCATATTATCGGGCCCTATAATCAAATAAGGAAGTAACATTTACGTTATATCCGTAAGCACATCTGGTTAACCTAAAACACTATTCAAGCACATTTTTACACACCACCGCACACATCGCCGCAGTATAATGAAGATCCCGATTTTTCCGGCCGAAATTAAGCACTTGACTGCATTGTGTGAGTATACTGGTGAGTTTTTAAATGATGACTGCGCGAGAATTTACGATAACATAAATTGCACTGGTACGGCCTCTCCCCTGTGTGTGTGCGAACGTGAGTCTTTAAGTTGGAGGCTTGCACGAACGACTGGCTGCACATCTTACAGCGGAAGGGCTTCTCTCCCGTGTGTATACGCTGGTGGCACTTTAAGTAGGAAAGCTTCGCAAAGCTCCTTTTGCACACGGGGCACTGGTAGGGCTTATCCACTACGGGTTTGTTCACTTTTGGGAAGCTCGAAATTAGAAACCCTTTTCTACAAAGCTGCTGTTCTTCAAGATTGTGGTCATCAAGAATGTAATCGTGTTCCTTGTTCGATAGACCTTCGATACCGATCATTATCACCTGCTCCTCGGAAATGTGCAGCATCGTTGCTGGCATTGGTGGGTACGCAACACGCGGAGATGCCTCTTCAGTTTCGGAGTTGCCTTGCGTTTTACCTCCCATGTGCTGCTGCTTCTGTGAAAATGTGCCAACTTTGGAAGCGTTCGCATGGTCCAATGCCATGCCTTTGAGTGAGACCACATCTTTCACGATGAAGTCTGAATGCCTCTCCACGTCGTTAATATCTACGTGAAAAAAGAAAAGAAAGAGATTAGTGATCCAAACTTGATTTGTGATCCAGCTGGCATCGATTTTTCAGTTGTTACGATACAGGCTTGATATTTCTAATCGTCTAGTTCAGGGGTCTGCAACCTGCGGCTCTTTAAGGATTGCTTATATATTTATTAAGGATCACCGTGTCACATTCACATGCACTGTGACTATTGAAACATTCAAGTTTTTTACCGAAATCGAAAAAAATGGCTCTTCTTGTTATTTTGGTGGCCGACCCCTGGCCTAGTTTATCTGTACCATTGTGTCATACAATTTATCTATAAATTTGTGGATCTCCCAGCCATTGTGCATGATGGATACAAACAATAAAAAAAAAACTATGAAACTATTTTACCAGCTAAGGCCCACTAAACTATGTAGCTCCTTTCCAGAAGCGACCTGGCCACAAACGATAGCGTAACAAAGTGGCTTATCGTGATGTTGAGATTAATTTATTCATCACGCATAGTAAGCAAAGGATCTGATATCACTGTTATAGTTTGGTTGATAAGGTTAAGTGTTGAAATGTGCTCTATAATCCTCATGTACCTTCCAGAGCCTCTGTCTTTATTGCATGCAATGTTTCCTTGGGGCTGTCGTCTCCACTGCTTCCAACGTCCTTCCCAACTTTTTCTGCTTAAACGAACAAGCACCACATCAGGTTTAACACCCCAAATATCACACTGCTATGAAAGCTAAATATTGTAACATTCATTGTTGATAAAGACCTCGTGGATTTCCTGTTGAATCCACAATAGTAAAACGATACTTGTCAATCTGCTTTAAAAATATCGGGCGCTTTGAAAATAGCTCAGCGAACAGAATAAAACTTTACCGTTCACTGCATTATCATCGATGTCAAGTATCACGTTGTTTTCAAGAGTGGCTAAAGTGGAGTCCCCAGCGCACGCTCTAGAAGCATCCAGCCTCTGCACGGACAGCAGCAGCTCCCGGCTCAGGCCGCTGAACAGCGCAAGCAGCACCTCCACCAGGCCTCCCAGCGTCACGTCGCCAGGGGAGGAAGCAGCGTCGTCCCATCGCGGCGTCTCAGCGTTGTGGGGCTCAGCGCCCTGCAGGGCCTTCACCACCTGCCGCAGCACGGCATAGAAGCCGAAGGGTAGGCGGTCGCGTGCCGTGGACAGCAGCTCGGCCCGCACGAGGCTGTCCCCGACGCAGGCGCGCAGGACCCCGTAGTCCCGGATGCCCAGCTCCGAGTCCATGGCCCGGGCCACCTCCGCATTCACGCCCTGCGCCTCCAGCCACGCCGGGAAGTTCCCGCTCGGCTCCAGCACCGGGGTGTCCACCGCGCACGCCATCTTGATGGGATGCGTAGAAAGCTCATTGAACAAATTTTGAGTTAGAATATATAAAAGTAAATTGTATATTTTGTGATTGATGTCATTATCCGTTCATCATTTGCTACATCAGGAAATGTCTCACTGCAAAAAAGAGTAATGTCTGGTTTCAGTAGAGCCGGGACAATTGGTCAACTTGGTCGATCCGTTTATTATAAATTAGAACCAATGACTTTTTGTGGTCGATTATCCTGGCCCCTTAAACATGTTGGTCGCCCTCACATCCTGTCTCCCAAAGGTGGGAAACCCCCAACAAAGCTAGGTTCAGCATGACACAGCTGATTATGCCAATGACATCACCAAGCACCGCATTACCTCCGATCCATTACATGACCAAGCTGCAGCGTGTAGAATATTCTTTGGCACATGTCGTGACAGGTACTGCAAGATCCGACCATGTCCATTCAATGCTCGCCGAGCTGCGTTGGCTACCGGTTGCCGAGCTAATACATTATAAGGTCGCACTCATTACACACAAAACGCTTGCCACAAATGAAACACAACACCTTGTTGTACTCGTCAAGGAGCATAAACCATCACGCGAACTCCGGCCATCCTCTCAGTGGCTTTTGGCTTAACCATCGAACAAAGACGGTCACCGCATCGCGTGCCTTCAGGTGCGCTTCTGCGGCTGTCCGGAATGATATTAGGAAGCCACTGGAGCTATGCACTTTTAAACCCAGATTAAAAACTCACTTATGTAGAACTGCTTTTTGTGTTTAGTTTGTTGTCCTTCCTCCGCACCTCCGATAAGCTCGTTGACTACATGCGGTGCGAAAGAAGTTCAACATACATCCACTGGCGCACATTGGAACAGAAGTTTTACTTTTCCCCCCTCCCCCCCCAACTGTTTTTGTGTCATCCATTTAGTCGAGTAATCGAACCGATAATCGGTTGAGTAATTAATCACTTAATTAACTGGACCACCCAGCTCTTTAAGTCTCTTAAATCTCTTAAAAGCTGCTTCCTTTCCCATCCACAACAGCTGAATTAAGGTGATCCCCCAGGTCAACCACCCGGCAGACGGTGACCGAAAAGCGAAGACATCAAGTTGAGTGACCCTAATGTTGAGTGAAATGAATGCCACGTGAAGTGCAGTTGAAGGACCTTAAAGCGATGTGCTATGTGTGAGACTGATCGCACAAGCAAAAAACGACACTATTTTTTAAAATCACCGCAACATACAGTTTAGACAGCTATTTTGATATCATAACAATCGCCATATCGTGGATATTTTTTGTATCAAATAGGTGAACATGATACGATATTAGACGATATTAATAAGATACAGCACTTTCTCACTACTCTCCGGATTATAAGACGCACCCAACCCAGCACTCCCCTGCATTTTAAAGAAGTTGGGGAGGGGTTGCATCTTATAATCCGGTATATGGGCGGGTGTGTCCACATCCGTGTAAATTGAACTGTGACACTAGGCACACTTTTATGGTGTGCGCCTTACCTTCCGGAACGTCTTATAATCCGGAATAAACACATTCCTGCGGAGGGAGCTGGTAGGAACGTTGGGTTGCTCGGTCAATGGCCAGGGTCAACGTCGGCGTGGTGTATTCCGCAAATATGGCCGACTGTGAGGGCGGGCACAAGCCGGCGTGAGTAGGTTAAACGTTGAGTTTTATAAGGGCACCACGGGGTGACCAGCCCCTCCCCACCCAGCCCCTCCCCAACTTCCCCACCCAGCCCCTCCCCACCCTCCCCTCTCCACCCAGCCCGACCCCTCCCATTTTTGGAGGCACGACGGACGGACGGACACAATAATCCCCTGTGGGCTGGTGGAACCAGGTGGTTCCTACCAGTATAATGTGATAATAAATAGGGGCTACTTTTGCCTTCAACACAGACCCTATTTTAAACAAAACAGCCAATGGCCGTGTAGAAGACCCTGGATGCAAGCGTGTACCTTGAACTTCTTTCACACCGTACGTAGCCAAACTGTGCTAATCGGAGGTGATGCTGTTGCTGTTACCACTGCTACTGTTGTTACCGACGCTGCAGCTGATGCTTTCTGCTGCTGACACTACTTCTCTGCTGTTCCTGTTACCACTGCTACTGCTGCTACTACCTTCTGCTGTTGTTTACTGCTGCTGTTGTGTTGCTGCTATTTTGTTGCTACTGTTGTTACGGACACGGAATGTAGCTGCTGTTGCTACTGCTACTACCTTCTGCTAGTGTTGCTGCTGCTGTTGCTGCTGCTACTGCTGTTCCTGCTGCTACTGCTGCTGTTGTTCCTGCTGCTATTGTTGCTACTGCTGTTGCTACTGCTGCTATTGCTGCTGTTGTTGCTATTGCTGCTGCTGTTGTTGTTGCTATTGCTGCTGCTGTTGTTGCTATTGCTGCTGCTGCTGTTGTTGCTATTGCTGCTGCTGTTGTTGCTACTGCTGCTACTGTTGCTGCTGCTGTTGCTACTGTTGTTACGGACACGGAATGTAGCTGCTGTTGCTACTGCTGCTACTGCTGCTGTTGTTCCTGCTGCTACTGTTGCTGTTGTTCCTGCTGCTGTTGCTGCTGCTGCTATTGCTGCTGTTGCTACTGCTGCTGTTGTTCCTGCTGCTGCTGTTGCTACTGCTGCTGTTGTTGCTACTGCTGCTGTTGCTGCTGCTGCTACTGCTGATGTTGTTCCTGCTGCTGCTGTTGCTGTTGTTCCTGCTGCTGCTGCTGCTATTGCTGCTGTTGCTACTGCTGCTGTTGTTGCTACTGCTGCTGTTGTTGCTACTGCTGCTGTTGCTGCTGCTGCTACTGCTGATGTTGTTCCTGCTGCTGCTGTTGTTCCTGCTGTTGCTGCTGCTATTGCTGCTGTTGCTACTGCTGCTGTTGTTGCTACCGCTGCTGTTGCTGCTGCTATTGCTGCTGTGGCTACTGCTGCTCCTGTTGCTACTGCTGCTGTTGTTGCTACTGCTGCTGCTACTGTTGCTGCTGCTGATATTTTGTTGCTACTGTTGTTACGGACACGTAATGAAGCTGCTGCTGCTGCTACCGCTGCTGTTGGTACTGCTGCTGTTTCTACTGCTGTTCCTGCTACTGCTGCTGTTGGTTTGCTGCTGACACTGCTGCTGTTCCTGTTGCTGCTGTTTTTCTGCTGTTACTGCTGACACTGCTGCTGCTGTTACCGACACTTACTGTAGCTGCTGTTGTTTTGCCGCTGCTGCTGCTGCTGTTGACACTGTTGCTGCTGTTTATGTTGCTGCTGCCGCTGTTGTTTCTGCTGCTGTCACTGCTGCTGCTGAGACTGTTGCTGCTGCTGCGGTCAGAGGGTAAAACCGCGCCAGAGAGACTCGTGGTCCCTGTCACCAGTCGCCGATTGTCAGAGTTAGGGACCGCGGCAAATTTACGCGATTGGGAATATAAATTATCGCCGATCCTACGGTTTCACTTTTTTTCAGTTTCATGTATTAGGTATAGCCCTGTGAGCCATTCGGCTTTTGAATCGGGTGCAACCGCAACAAACAAAAGACAAAAACATGAACCAGAAAACATCTTAAAGTGACTATGTGACTAAGTGCAAACAGAAATCCAAAAAAAGACAGCAAAATATTCCAAGAAAAAGCACCGTACACCAACGCTGTGTGCAAAAATCCCAGTGGGATGCAAGTCAAACAACAACAACCACAAGACAACTTAGATTAAGGCCATCAGTCTAACTCCGTACTACAACAAACAAACATGGCCAAACCAAAAAACTTTTCTAAATCACCAAAATAAAGCCATAAAAGCAATGTAACAGTGATCATAGGAACTGTGATCGAATTTTCACAATAAACGACATAAACAACATGTACCACCAAACCCTGTAGCCATAGCTTGCTGCATGAGTCACTCCACAACAGCAGGAGCATCAGAAGGAGTATCAACATTTTTCAATGCACCTTTAAGATCAGCACACTAAATCAAAACACAAGATCATACTTTGCAGCGGTCATCCGGAGCTAAACATTGTATTTTATTTTAGGTCACTGAATAGCAGTGACAGCTAGGGGTGTACAACTCCTCTAGAACAGTTTTGATTGAAGATCTCATAGGTAGTGATTCAAGTTGAAGTTTATTGGCAATGGCATTCCAGACCCTGGTGGCATCAACAGCAAAGGCCCTTCCTCCAGTATTTGTACGGCAATAGGGAATGTGAAGCTGGTAAATGAGCGAAAAAGCTGGCTGCATGAGTCACTCCACAACAGCAGGAGCATCAGATGGAGTATCAACATTTTTCAATGCACCTTTAAGATCAGCACACTAAATCAAAACACAAGATCATACTTTGCAGCGGTCATCCGGAGTGAAACATTGTATTTTATTTTAGGTCACTGAATAGCAGTGGCAGCTACGGGTGTAGTACAACTCCTCTAGAGCAGTTTTGAGTGAAGATCTCATAGGTAGCGATTCAAGTTGCAGTTTATTGGCAGGACAGGGATACAGGCAAAACCCCAGTTTACGTCGGAGATGCGTTCCGAGAAAATGTGCGGCAACGAATATCGAAACGGCGCGAGTGGGAAGCGATTTACAGGGTAGGCTGGGGAGGCGACTGATAAGGGGCCGTCCATAAATGACGTCACGCGATTTTGGACGATTTTTGACCCGCCCCCACGTCACACGGCGTCACAAAAAGTCAGACCCCCCCCCCCTCAAATATGACGTCACAAAGCTCTGCCCCCCCCCCCCCCAAAGAAAACATGCTTCAAATCGCTTTAAACTATTGTCATTGTAGTGCGTATTTAATGTGCCGCTGCACTCTGATGTTGTAGGATAAAACATGTATTAATAAGTCAATTTAATTAAGACACACACAGAGACACACAGACAGACACACAAGCAGAGAGAGACAACACAGAGACACACAGAGAGAGACTCACACAGAGACACACAGAGAGAGACACACACAGAGACACACAGAGACAAACATAGACACAAAGTGAGAGACACGCACAGAGACACACAGACAGACACACAAGCAGAGAGAGACAACACAGAGACACACAGATAGAGACAACACAAAGACACACAGAGACACACAGAGAGCGACACACACAGAGACACACAGAGAGAGACACACAGAGAGAGACACACACAGAGACACAGAGAGAGACACACAGAGACACACAGACAGACACACAAGCATAGAGAGACAACACAGAGACACACAAGCAGAGACTCACACAGAGAGACACACACAGAGAGACACACACACAGAGACACACAGAGACACAAAGTAAGAGACACGCACAGAGACACACAGACAGACACACAAGCAAAGAGAGACAACACAGAGACACACAAGCAGAGACTCACACAGAGACACAGAGAGACACACAGAGAGAGACAACACAGAGACCCACACAGAGACACAAAGTGAGAGACACAACATAGACTATATGGTGGCCTTCAAGCGGCGGTTCTTCACGAACGCCGGCTTGGCGGCCAACACTTCGGTGCAGATGTTTTCTCTCCTCTGCTTGAGGAAGCCCCTTGATTTGGGTGCTACGGGGTACGCCACCGTAGCTCATACGTCGGTGTCCGACGACCAGGAACCTTTTATTCAGGTTCTTAATGCTGGGTTGGACATCACGGTCACCCAGGAATGAACGGTGTTGGCCCATGCGTCAGGAATGCGGCTGCTGAGCCTTGCACGCGACGATCCTGGGATGTGGATCATCCTTCTCGCCTGGAACCGGTTATCGTGCCACGTGAATTCATTTCATCTCCACATCGCTGGGGCCGAGTGTCGAATGTGTCTGGCGACCGGTTTTGTGGAACCAATCAATGACCGTCGTTAAAAGGGGTTCTCCTGTACTTTTGGGTTGGGCCACGTGCTAATTTGATGCCTTGCTGGCCACGTGCTAATTTTATGCCTTGCCATGAGACCTCCACCACCAAGCAAGATTGTCATGTTTGCAAATAAATTATATATCTGTGCCAACGTTTTGATCAAATTCTGACCGATAAAGCTCCGACTGACCGGTTGCGAGCGGGGCACGACGGCAGAGGTCGCAACTGGGTACCCGATACCCGTACCCTACCCGATACCCGGCTACCCGTACCCGGCCGAGTACGGGTACGGGTAGGCCGTGAGTCACTGGTGAGTAACCGTTTGTCACTCATTTCCCAACGTCTTATCTCTTCTCACAATTCAAGTTCTAGAATCAACCCACCCGCGCCTGCAACATGGCTTTATCCCAGAGGTCGCAATCAGGTACCCGATACCCGTACCCTACCCGTACCCGGCCGGGTACGGTTAGGGTACGGGTACGGCCGGGTACGGGTAAGGAATCAAAACCCATTTGCGACCTCTGCACGACGGTTGCGAGATGTTATCTCCCTCGCCTGATATGCAGGAGGTCGTGGGTTCAATCACGACCCTGACGATGCATGTATATTTGAAGTTTGCGTGTCCCTCTCCTCCCCGTGGTCGCGTAGTTTTTTCTCTCTCCAGGTTCTTCAGTTTTTCCCTCCACATTTAGAAAGATGCGTTTAGAGTATTTGGCTGATGTAAATGTCGACGTGATGAGCCATTTCGTTGAGCTATCATTTGTGGCGAAATCACTCCTGAAAAATAACTAAATAGCTCAGTGGACATTATCTGGTAAATTTAAACTTTTAGTATATCTTTTTTATACAGACTGAATTTAATACAAACATACAACGTTTTGCTCAAACTGCTTTGAGCTTCAGCTAAAAGGAGCTGGTAAATCGAGACTGCTTCAGCAGCTGACTTGTACCTTAAGTACCCGCCGTGAGGTTACCAATTTCCGAAGCATGGGTCATTCACAGTTCTTTGTAATGTGGGCCTGGAGACTTTTTTTACGTTAATCGTCTCAAAACTATTTCAAAGAAATAATAATACTCATGTAAATCTTGACTTAAAGCTTTTGTAACTTCAGGAAATAATCTTCTTTGGGTCTTTCGGTAAAGTCGTGGAGATAGATTCGATATAATACTCATGTAGTCTTGTAAAGGCGACAACCCACAGTATTCACTCGCCGTCGAAGACAGAACCCAGCTTATATACATGCTCCAAGCACGTGTGCTGTTTCATTCAGACGCTGTCGCCTCGACAGACGTGGTTTTCACCTAAGGACGGCTGCTTGCGTTGTGGCCGAAACGTCGTGAGAATTGTTTTATTATGTTTTATTTTTATTATTACTTCCCTTCTACGTGACTTTACCGAAAGAACCAAGAAGATGAAAACAGAACGACTCCTCAAGACAAGGCAGCAGCTGCCATGCCGTGAGCCAAGTGCCACATCTGCATGCAAGTTCGCTGTACACCTTCTAAGCTGATGAGTGACAATTTTGTCTTAAACCGGTGCTAATAGTTGTTTCACTGTGTGGACGGTGCCGATCCTAACCCCGATGTTTTGGCGAGGAATAGAGCGATTCAACCAGTGGTGCCTGTATTGACGGGTAGTTTTTTTTTAAGTTGAAGTGGTTAAGAGAAATCAGTTTGGCTCCGTTTTGCCTAGAGGGGTGGTTCTCAAATTGTGGTCCCCGGTAACCAGCACGCTGTCCGCGGTGACTGCGATGCAAATGCAGGTCGATCCGGACAATAATGAAATTGTTTATAGCTCTTGTTTCGGACAATAATCAATATTTTACTCATTTAATTTAAAAATTAAGTTAGGTAAACTACCCTGATTAAACTTCCCTAACGCTAAGATCTAAAAAAAAACTCAAAGCTGCAAAAACAAAAAAAAATATTCCATTAATTATAGATTTAAAGCTTTCGTGACTGCAGAGATTCATATTCTTGGTTCTTTCGGTAAAGTCACGTAGAAGGGAAATAATAAAATATTAATATAAAACAATAAAAATTCTCACGACGTTTCGACTGCAACACAAGCAATCATCATCAGGTGTGAAATCCACACCGTGAAATCCACAGCAAGAAGAACATGTTCTTGCTGTGGATTTCACACCTGATGATGATTGCTTGTGTTGCAGTCGAAACGTCGTGAGAATTTGTATTGTTTTATATTAATATTATTTTATTATTTCCCTTCTACGTGACATTACCGAAAGAACCAAGAATATTCCATTAATGTTTAAGTTTGTATTACTGGTATTGAGAGATAAGTGAATGCGTTTCTTCACCAGAAGTGGGCTGGCTGGGTGGCCCACGGAAATGTTTGCATCGGTTGAATGATCCGTGGACCAAAACAAGTTTGAGAAACACCACTCCAGAGGCTCTCTCCATCTGTCATTGGCTGTATCTATTATCTTGCCGCTTGCTGAAAGTGTTGCATTTCCACCTAGAAAGTGTTCTGTAGCGGACGCGTCTCGATGGGAGATTACGTTTGTTGTGGATCGTGATGCATGCGACTTCTCGCGTAGAAAATCCACGTTTTAAGTATATAGACCTCAAAAACAAGGTAATTGGACAAGCTGCAGATCAAGCGTGTGATCAACAACAATCGCAAACGGAGGGACCGTGAGGACAACCCAGGAAGACACGGAACGTTTTGGCCAATGTTGGGCCGATGTTGGTCTAACGCAGCCGGGGTCGGCAAACCAAAATAACAAGAGCAGCAATTTTTTTCCAATTCAGTACAAAACTCAATATTTCAAGAGCCCTGCAACGCATGTGAATATATACGACATAAGGTCACGAAGCAGTTGTTAAAGAGCCCACCACGTGCGGGTCCAGAGCCCCAGGTTGCCGACCTGCTGGTCTAACGGTTCTATCCACATGCCAACGTCAGGATGTATATATGCAACCAGCTCTCAGGGGACTCAATATATTGGGTGAAGGAGAGGGGTAAGTAGAACAATTACACACGGGGCAAAATACAGAAAATGTCGACAAATCAAAATAAGGGTGGAAAATGCCGAACATAGATTATTACGAAGGAGTGAGCAAGAGTACAGCGTATGTAATGATGTGATTAGAAAGTATTATGTCCTTGTCGCAGTAAATTACTGTAAATACATTTTGAAGGGGTATTTTAGTTCTTTACGGAATATAATTTAAGATAAATTTTCGTAAATTAAGGAGGGAATATGAAAGTATCTGTTCTTTAAAGGAAACCTACATACAGTAAAGATAGTACATGTAAAGGGAAGAGTAATGACATGATACTTTCATTTTATATAGCATCATTCATGCTAACAGCATCCCACAACGCTGTACATTAACTATATATAAGAACAAATCCCATATACAGCCACGACCAATCAAATGAAAACCCTACTACCAAGCAAAATCAAATGTGAGCAAACACATTCAGAAATGGCACCAAAAAAAAAAGCACAAACAACAATGCACATTTGTGTAGGGACGCAACGAGGCGTACGGGAGACTTCGTGGACTGAACGGGGTCGTATGTGTAGTGCCGTAGATGGGCCACGCTTACCGGCAGTGATAGACGAGGTCCATCTGCAAGGGTACCCTGTACCGCCAAGGGGGGGGGGGGGGCTGCGGGGGATCTATGATCCCACGCAACGCCTCCCCTCGATGGGCAAAGGGGCATAAAAGAGGACCTCCCCAGCCGATCGAGGCCAGTCGCAGCTCAAGACCCAAGACCAGCCAGCTTAGGACCCTGGACCCCCTCGTCCCGCTTGTACTTGTAAGGGCCGGGACGCTGTGAGGGCCAGTGGTGGAACTCTGGGACTCCCGGCTCTACGTCCTTGTAAGGGCGAGTTCCGAGGAAGCCAGAGTCTAGACCCGCACCTTGGCTGGGTCGGGTCAGGTAGCCTCCCCTAGGGTAATTGTAGCCGGAGGACCCCAGAGCGTAGCCAGAGTCAGGCACGCTAGAAGTAGGCTATGTCCCTAGGCTGTAACAGTGTATATGGACTGTTGGAGTGTTGTATTGTAATAAAGAAGTTACCTCTACTAGTGTCTCCGGAACCATTACATATGCGATCATGAGGCTTCTTGGTTCTTTCGGTAAAGTCACGTAGAAGGGAAGTAATAAAATAATAAAAATAAAACATAATAAAACAATTCTCACGACGTTTCGGCCACAACGCAATGCAGTACTAATCACATTCCTGCATTTCCCATAAATATGCTAAATTCCTTTTGATATGCAAATTCCTTTGTCAATGCGCCCAGCTTATATATATGCTCCAAGCTCGTGTGCTGTTTCATTCAGACTCTGTCGCCTCGACGGACCTGGTTTTCACCTGAGGACGGCTGCTTGCGTTGTGGCCGAAACGTCGTGAGAATTGTTTTATTATGTTTTATTTTTATTATTTTATTACTTCCCTTCTACGTGACTTTACCGAAAGAACCAAGAAGATGAATCCCTGCAGTCACGAAAGCTTTAAATCGAGATCATGAGGCTGTTACGAGAACCATTCGAGTCTACCCTGGGTCCACATTGTCACTGGGGCGTACCGAGGCCATGCGCAGATACTTCAGACTATGTTGTTGCAAACCTTGCGGTGTGTCCGTTATTAGAGGTTATAGATTGCAATGATTAGAAATGCGTCGAGTGAACTGCGTTTGAAGAACGTTTAACAAATATTTATTAGTACTTGACG